CAAGGGCCTCAAGATCGGCGGTCTCGCTGCCAGGGCCAAAATCCTTCTTGGAGCACCCGGAGGACCCAGTGGTGAGCAGCTCGCTGCCCAAAGCCAAGGAATGCTCATCCTTCTGGATCACGGAGGAGGGGCAGCTTTGGATGGAGGAAAACTCCCTGACAGCAATCTCCTTCGACCAGTGCCGCCTGGGCCAGCTGGTCAAGAAGGCCACCACACTTGCCACGGATCTCCCAATCCAGGACTGGGATCAAATGCGGTGCACACATCAGTCACATGTGGGCACCAGCGAGTCCTCGACTCTCAGCAGATACCCCTGGGATATGATGGCAGGCCTGGCCAAAGCCATCGCTGTGTCACTCGCAGCGCCGGGGCACATCCGGATCCCCTCACAATTCCCGGGAAACCCTAAGGAACCACCTAAGGGAAGGGGGTCGGACCCCCCTGGGGGCCCTTCTCCCCGGGGAAAACGGGGACCCAATCAGGGAGGCGGTCCCTCCTCGTCACACCAGGGCCCAGAGCCCGGAGGCAAGCATGCCCCGAAGCCCCGCCAGCACGGGCACATCCACCATGAGGCTGACACCGTAAGCCCTCGTGGAACCATGAGTCCAGACTTCCCATCTCCCATGCCCCCGATGGCCGGAGATGCGGAACAACTGGAAAAGGAAGAACATGGGGACCAGGTCCTGGACCGCCCCGAATGTCTGCCCGCCTTCCGGGTCCCACGCCTCACTGACCGAGTTGCGATTGTCCAATTGGGTTTCCGTTCACGCCCCATGAGAGATGGGGGGGGGAAACCTTCCCCGGGGAGGCTCAACCCCCCTTTTCGGAGAATTTCCCCTTTGGCTACTTTGGGCGCCCTGATCATGACCCTTACCAGGCCCTGGATTGACAAGGTCCGGATGTCCCTGGCATCAGGTGCCACCACACACCCCTTCCAGGAAGCCGACCTCGAGGAGCTCCGGGCTATCCTAGGACCGAGGCACCTCCATGAACGATGCCCAGGACAACCCTTCCTCCTGGACTTAGTGTCGCACTTGGCATCCCTTTCAGGTGACCCTGATTGGGAGTTTCCCCTGACACTGAAAGAGGGGGTCCCCTTGAAAGTCTCGGACCCTACCTTGACCTCCCCGGGAGTTTGGCCCACCAAGGAGGAGCTTAAGGGAGAGGCATGGCTGGGGGAAGACCCCCCCCCGCCAGTGGCTCATGATAACTACCCAACGGCGGAACTCTTTGCCGAGGAAATCGAGTCAACCTTTTACGAGGAACGAGCCTTGGACATGGTGGACGGGCCCTTCACTCGCTCCGAGGCGGCGGAGAGGTGCCGCTGCAAACCGGAGGAACTTTGCCCGGGCCCCCTTGCAGGAATTGATGAGTCGGACAAGATCAGGACGATTTACGATGGCTCCAAAGGGGGAGCAAACGCACACATCCAGGCTCACACAGGGGAGAAGACCACTGCACCGATGGTCGGAGACTGCCTCCACGCCATCCACTGGCTCAGGACAGCGGCGGACCATCCCCATCTACTTGGGGCCACGCTCCCGAACACTGAGGAGAGACCTCGGGATGTTCACCAGCCGGTGCAGGGGCAGTCCCCAGGTGCCGAGGGCCCTGAGAGGGACCCCCACAGCACCAGCCTGCCCCCAGGTGCCGAGGGCCCTGATAGGGGCAGGCGGATGATGGAGACCTCCGGCGGCCTGGACGTCTCTCCGCGGTCAACACCCTCAGGGAAGGGGCCACTCCCAGGTGCCGAGGGCCCTGATAGGAGGGCCCCCTTCCCCCCAACCCCCCCGGCACGGAATGCCCTGGGGGGAGCGGGGGGGAACCCCTGAGATGGCAGCTGCCGACACAGGGGGAAACTTTCATCATCCTCAAGGCAGATGTCACCAAGGCCCACAGGCGTATTAAAGTGCTCCCTAAAGACTGGAAATACCAGGTGGCCTGCATCCAAAACCGATGGTGGGTCAACAGAGTGGGCACGTACGGCATGGCCTCGGCACAGCTGTACTGGGGAAGAAAGGCAGCCCTGGTGCTTAGGCTCTTGTACTACATCTTCCCCCATGTGGACTGGCACTTAGTCTTTGTGGACGACTACTGCTGGGTCCTCAGATGCAGCCGGGCGGACTGGGACGCCGCAGCCATATTGGCTACACTGCTGGCGCTGGGAGTCCCGCTTTCCTGGAAGAAGACGGCGCTCTCACCGATCAATACCTGGTTGGGTTTTGTGGTGGACCCAATCACGCCCTGTGTACTGCTGGCTCCAGTCAAACACGTCATAATCCTGGCCACTCTTAAACGGCTGGCCCAGGGGGACATCTTCACCAGCAAGGAGGTGGAACAAGCCCTAGGCCGTATTCAATGGGCTACTTCGGCGTGCCCATTGACGAAACCTTTCCTCCAGCCTTTTTGGAGCTGGAAGAAGGCCTGCACCACTTCGGGCAGGCCACCAAAGTTGGTTCGTGCTCTGGCCATACTTTTGGGGAGACTCTTCAACCAGAGGTTCCCACTGGCATCCCCATTTGCTCCCACACTCCCATGGACGGGGGCATCTGATGCGGGAGCTGGCAGACAGGCGGACCATGCATGGGTGGGTGGTTGGTGTTCGGACGTGCCCAACCCCGACAAGTCCCGTGTTAAGTGGTTCCAGCACAGAATCACACCGGAGGGCGAGCCGTGGGCCTTCACTACTGGGGACCCGCAGCGGGCGATAGCGGCCTTGGAGCTCTTCGGCCTCCTCCTTTTGGTGAGGGCCGTTCTGCTTTGTGCGGCCGGCTCGGCTTCTCACACTAGGATCCTGGTGGCTAGTGATAACCAGGGAAATGTTTTCTCCCTTCTTAACGATTCCACCCGTAGGATGCCCAATGCGGCCATCCTCATGGAAATTGTGCTCACGCTGCATGACCAGCAGGTCATGCTGGGGCCGTCGCATGTGAAACGCGACTTCAACAAGTGGGCGGATGAGCTTACTCATCCGGACCCGCAATTCCCGACTGAGAACCGGGTCTTCCCCTCAGTCGAGAGCGAATTGATCACACTGATCTTCGCTACATTCCTTCCTCACCCATGATGCCGGGAGGGCATCCGGTGAGTTGGGAGGATTTCTCCCTCGCTGTGGGAGTGGCATCAATCCTACTCCCATCAGCTGCTCAGGGGAGCTGCCCAGTGGAACTGGGCAATCCTCCCATTTTGGCACTAACCCTTATGCGGCAAAAGGAGGCACCGTTTTGCGAATAAGGCCTCAGTAGCACCTGAGTGGTGCTTCAAAGAGTCTTGGCTATCTTTTGACGCCGGTCGCGACTCACGAGGCTGCGGCAGATGGTGAAAAAACAGCCGACATGTACATGTTGTTCGACTCGCAGAATGAAACAACAAGAGGCGATCTCAGTCCATGTGGATTCCCGAAGATTTCCCAGAGAACCTGCCTATCTGCCGCACTGAAGACATGCGAACGTCATCAGTGACCTCAATGCCTCCATGCTTACAGGCAACCTCAGACTGATCTTTGATGGCGGCCATGACGTGCTGTGAGCAGGCAAGTAAGCCTTGGTGCCAGCACCAAGGTCCACAACATGAATTTCATCCACATCCGCTATGACTCACCCAAGATCCGCAATCCGCATCTCTTCGGGTTGTCTCAATGAAGCGCTGCCGTCAACCTCGGGCTTCAGTCGCAAAGGGCCAGTTGGACACTTGGGAGAGTTCTCCCAAGTCGGTTCAAGACCCATGACGGATCTTGTCTTGCGCATATGTGCCCAAGGATTTGAATCCTCGCAAATAGTTGGGATCCCTTCAAAAGCCATTCAAAGTGACCCGCTAATTTGCATGTCACGTTTGATCTCGGAACGTGTTTGGCAGGTACCGTCAGCTCCTAGATCCTCATGCTGACTTGGTTCTTTGGCACTCAAAGAATAGTTCATATAATAATGCCAGCTTGTCACCAAATGTTCCTCCAAATTCGATGGGTCTTCCTTTTGGTTTCCCTTTTAAAGCGACCCGGAAGCGGTACGTGCACGCTCACGCCCACGCCCACGCTGCACGTGGCACGTGCCACGCTCTCGCGCACGCCCATCTCCACGCCCACGTCTACCACACCCACAACCTCTGCTCCCCACGCACCCGCACACACACACACACCCACACGCACACACCCACACATTCTCTGGCTGTTCAGGGCCCCAAAAGTGGGGACCTTGCAACAAAGCCAACCCAAAGTAACCCTATCAGCTCCGAATAGGCCTTATTAGTTGCTATTAACCTTCATTGGGATTGGGGGGTCCCTATTCAAGTGTCCTTGACATCAATCGGAACACACAGACACACACACACAGACACACACAAACGATCAACTGTTCATGCTCTTTGTGGACGGGACAGGCGATGGGGGCCCCCAAAATGGGTCGTTTTGCTTTGGGTTTCCTTTGAACCAGGCCCAAAAAGGGTACCTCAAAAAGGACACTCCCATATGTTGACTGCTTCTGCGGCTCCAGCACAGTTTCTTCGGTCTGCGAATTCCAAGATGCGTGGCTTTGTGTGCGGTGCTTTCGCCTTCGTGCGCCGACCTCGGGTCAGCATCGGTCAAGAAATGAGCGATCAATACCCATATAAGCATTTTTTTGTTTTTTTTTTGGGGGGGGGCAACACCGTTTATGTCCTTGCATGCATGATCAAGCCAGCACACGCAGCGTTTGGCTGGAGAAGTGCATGCTTCGCCCCCTAGGAGCGGGCGTAGCGGGTGGTGGCGTAGGTGGCGCCATCCTGCAAGCGCTTTTCTGGGGCCTTGAGCCGGCTGCGATCGGGGACCTGGGACACTGCTCAGGGGCACCGCTTCATTGGGGGCCTGCCTTCGACGTGCCGTCCCTTTGTGCAGGGATCCTCATCGGGTTGGCGCTCGCTCAGGTACTGGACCTCATCCTCATCATCAAGCATTACTTGTTTGCTGTGATCAGGAACCGGGCCAACCAGTGGAGCCCTGCTGTACTTGTGCGGAACCGGCCGTCTGCATGAGCCGGAGCTCGGCCGCTCGTGAGCTGGTTGAAATCCGTCAGCGGCTTGCCGGGCTCCAGGACGAGGTAGCAAGCCTTGCCGACCGAGTGACTGCTTTAGAGCTGGCCTCTGAGTTTGAGCTCGTGCTGCCCGCCGAGGAAGCTGCCGAAAGCCCCCGTAGTACCAGTGCTGCATCATCCCACGCCCCTGTGAGCACGGAGCGGCGATTGGCCGCAGCAAGGTCCATTGGGTTGTTCTGGGTTCGCTGCCTGAAGGGCAGAGCCAGGGGCCCATCGGGTCGCGACTCGATCCCCCTGCCCAGTGTGATCTACGTGTGTGTGCGAGACATCAACGGCCATAAGCGTTCGCCCGTTAAAGTGTTCCAGAGCTTTGCCCAGCTGGTCCCGTGGGTCGGCAAGCGCGGAGAGTTCGGGGATTCGGTGTTCACCGGTTTCCCCTCCGAGTGGGAGGCCCGTGCTGCCGTCACTGCTGCCGGCCTTGAGTGGCCATGACCGAGCCTGAGCCTGCCACGCCGGTGACCGAAGCCCTTGACGGGCCTCGTAATAATCTGATAATAGGGGATAGTGGGGTAGATAACTTTTACCCTTTTGGTGTCCTCAGTATCGTTGAAAGTGAGGCCACTACCACTGTGGCCACCGCTGCCATCTGCCTGGTTGGTCCGGACGTGCTTGTTGCCATCCCGCATCGTGCCTGGCACAGGACCATTGCCCGGCGTGTAGTGCCCCTGCAATTGTTCAGCCGACCGTCCGTGGCCACAGTTCGGGGCGCCTCGCCAGAGAATCGTGACCAGCCGTTGCCCGACCTGTCACTGCGTGTTTGGGTCGGACTCCTCAGTCACGAAGCCGAAGGTTTGGTTAGTTTCCCTGCTCCCGGAAGTGAGGTCGCCGTCGACTTCTCGTTTGCAGAGCAAGAGGGAGCTGCCGAGGTCCTCCCATTTGCTGGAGACCTAGTCAGGTTCGCCGAAGAGCTTTACCCTGACCTGTTCCTCAGCGCCGACAGTGCCGGTGCTGAGGTGCCTGCATCTGGCCTTGACCAGCGAGTAGAACGACTTGAGGGTACCCTGGGTAATATCCAAGCTAGCCTTGAGCGACTACTTTCACGAGAGACCAGTGAGCCATGCAAGCCCGCTGCCACACCCGCGCCAGCCCGCCAGCCAGCGCTCAAGAAGCCGCAGGGTCCTCCGCCATCAGGACCCGCTGCCGCCGTGTCTGGGTTGCCGCTGCCCGGATTAGATTCTGCAGTCGTCAACGCAGCCATTGCTGCTGGCATCAGCCGCGAGCATCTGGCAGAGATGAGCGCACTCATCCAAAAGCGACCTGGGAAGCTGGGCGACATCCCAGCCCCAGCGGCAAAGAGGCCGCCTCCGGGCCTAGCCGCCCATGCCGACCCTCTGTCAGCAAGTGCCAGCGAGGAGGAGGAGCCGGAGCCCGCCAAGGGCGTGGACCCGGTTGCAAAGGCTCTGAGCAAGTTGACCGAGATTGCGGACGCTCTTGCATCGAACAGAAAGCAGGAGAGAGGCTTGCAAGCCATCCTCGAGGGCGCCGGGAGCAACAGCAGCCACGGGGAGGGCGCCTCTGGATCTGCCGGGCGGCGGAATGCCGTGGCCTTGCAGCAACTCAGGGCTGCCCTGTCATCTCAGCCTGCCTACATCTACGAGCGCATCGAGGCAAACCTCCGGGCCGATTTCAATCTGGCCCGTCAGTTGCCGGGCTCGAGTGCAGTGCCTGTGTCCGCCAGGGCGTGGCTGGAGCTCCGCTCCAAAGTGCAGCCCTATCAGACCAACATACGCTTCATTTGGGGAATAGCGGGGGTTTGGGATTGTCTCATGAACGAGGAGTATGCCCAAGCCCGAGCCAGGTGTGCGTTGTTGGTTGCTCAGGGGGACCAGCTAGCTGTGGATCGAGGCTCGTGGGTTCTCGCAGGCGAGCTCTTGCTCGAGGAGAGTCCTCCTTTCTCGGCGTTCAATCATCACCGTCTCCCGGAGGGGTCCGAGACACCGTTCACAAAGCTCGCAGAGCCTGTGTGGCTGGACCTGTTGTTGTGGAAGCTGAAGGAGATCGAGGACTTCCTCGACAAGAGGAAGAAACTCTCCCAGCGTGCCAAGCCTCATGGAGAGCAGCCCAACCCCGAACAGATCAAGCCTCGGGGAGACACACGCCCTCCCAAGCCAAAGGGGAAGGGCAAGGGCCCAGGGAGCCAGCCATTGGCCCCCGAGCCAGCCGCCGCGTGAGAAGAGCATGCGCTGACCAGCCAAGGACGCCAGGCTCGGGTGAACCGTTTTTGCCAAATACAGTCCCGGGCTCGTCAGCCAGCACCGTGCATGCCCGAGCCCTGTGGGCCTCTTTAATTAGACATATTTTGCACAGTGCCTCAGTTAACCTCAGGCGCTTTTTCCTCAGTGCCACTCAGCCAGTGTCTGCCCCGCGCGCAGAGTGCGGGACCCCAGGAGCTCTGTGGCCCATGCCGCTGCCTTACTTGTTGGGCCGAAGTTCACACTTGTGGGAGGGTAGCCCCGACCTTGTGCAGCTCTGCATCAGCATAATAATCGTTGTGTTGAATTGGCTTCACTTTGGACAGCCCCGTTCACCCCCGCCCGACTTCGTGTGGCACCGGAGGCTGAGCCCTAAACAGTGGGGCTTAGTCCATCGGCTCCGGCGGCTCCTGGGCGATTGGCGTGATGCCCCAGCAGTGACCGCCCAGGACATGGGGCGATCGGCCTCAAAGTTTGAAACCGTTGAATTCAGCGTGGAAGCCTTGCACCGAGCAGCATGCGGCACACGACTCGCCGGCACATACGCTCGCCATGGAGTCAGTGCCGAACCCCAAAGCGCCCCTAAAGTGAGGCCCTTGGTCGGTCAAGCACCAGCCGCCCAGGTTGCAAAGCCCCATTCGCACAGACCGCCTTGCCTTCTCTGGGCGGCCCAGTTTTGACCCATCACCATACCTTGGAGGTCCGTCTTTGGAGATGTACCAGCGCCCACTTGACTTTGCAGTAAAGCCCGAGTTGTCAACAGAGCCTCTCGTGCGGACCCGTGTGCATTGTGATAGGCCCGAAGCCTTGCGTCTGTTGCATCTCCTTGATTCCTCCGACCGCCTGTCATTGGTGGACGCACGTGAAGCCAGGATGTCCCACCGTTCAGGTCTGTTTGCAGTTACTAAGAGCTTGGAGAGGGACCGCCTGATTTTGGACGCCCGTGGTCCAAATTCCCTTGAGCCCGGTCTCAATACCTGGACAAACACCCTAGGCTCCTTCTACCCACTGTTGTACCTTGAACTGCCGGCCGATCGTGACATCCGGGTCTCAGGCGAAGACTTGACCGATTATTACTATTTTTATAGGATCGGTGCCCAACGCAAATGTCGGAACTCCCTAGCCATTACCCTTTCCTTAGCCGAGGCCAGGAAGTTCCGTTGTTGGGATAAGTCGCTTGAAGGTGCAACCGCAGTGGTCCCCTGTTTAGCAACGATGGCGATGGGGGATCTAAATTCAGTAGAGTGGGTAGTCTGGTCACTATGCACGGGGTTTGGCCGAGGGGGGAGCATGCAGTCGGCATCGTTATAGACGATTTGGTTCTGTTTGAATTAACCCTTCGGCAGCCGAGCCCGTTCTCCCCTCTGCCCCAGCCCAGCCGTGCAGCCATCCTTGCAGACGTTATGACCGAGATTTATTCCGCTGTGGGCCTCAGTCGCAACGCAAAGAAAGCTTTCAGGGACGAGCTAAAAGGCTCTTTCTGGGGAGCGTCGCTTTGTGGCAGCAGTGGCCTTATCCGTGCTCAGCTTAGTCGTGTGCTGCCCCTCGTATCGGTCACGGCCCGAGTTGCATCGATCGGTTGGGCTAATAGGGAGTTGATAGATCCTGGGTGGGTCTTGGACGGCCGTTTTCCAATTCAGGCGGCGACTCATGGCCTTGCTTGATGAAGTGTTTAGCTGCATCCATTCCCACAGGTACGGTGTGCCTTTCGCCTTGACTCCGAGCATGGTGGACGAGTTGTGGACTTGGGTAGTGCTTGCCCCTTTAGCTTGTAGTGACTTGAGGGCCAGTAGCCTCCCGGAGTTTGTAGCCGTTGATGCCTCGGACCAAGCCATTGCAGTTGTGTCGTCCACCATTGGCATTGAGCTTGCCAGGGAGATGCCCCGGCATGCATTGCGGCGCCCTGCGTGGACAAGGCTGCTCTCCCCAGCCCGCGCTTGGGAGCGGTCAAAAGGCCTGCTCCTTCCCAGCGAAGAGCTACCTGATGGAGTTGTGTACCGTAGCCATCCACTTTGGAGTGCCGTAGCAGAGCATTGCCCCTTTCAAGAGCAAACTTGTGTTAGGACCAGACCAGGGGCCCACATAAATGTAAGCGAACTAAAGGGAGTCCTTCTTGCAGAGGAGCGGCGGAGCAGGGAGTCGCCAAACACTCGGCTCCTTGTTGGGTCAGATTCGCAAGTGGTGTTAGGTGCCGTCATCAAGGGCCGCTCGGCATCGGCCTGCATCAATCGTGAGATGCGCCGACACTTGCCTGCTCTTCTTGGTGGTAATGTGTACTCATTTTTTAACTATCTACCCACTGCCCTGAATCCAGCTGACGACCCGACGCGGGGCCGGAGTGTGCGACCCCCTAAGCCTTTGCCCCCAAAGTGGTTCCAATTGGCTCTAAGCGGGGACTTTGAGGAGCTCGACCATTTTCTCAGGGAGCAGCGTCTGGACCCCCCCTCACTTGCTAAGGTCCCCTTGTTCGCAGGGAAGGACGTTCCGGCACTGCCCTCTGAAAGCCGCAGGAACGCTCGACGCCAGGAGTTCAGCCTCAGCACAAAGCGGCGCTGCGCCGGCCCGAGCCCTGTAAAGCAGCCCCTACCCGAACATAAATACAGCTGCCTTCTAACTCCGGACGCCCGCACTCTCTTCGAAACCATTCCGGCCGACCAGTTTGTGTTCCCGAGGGGCCGGAGTCGTGCCGATGTGTCTCACCGTCAGGGGCACTTGGATTTGTTTTCGGGTTGGAGGGGGGGCGCTACCGCACTTGCCGACACATCGCAGTGCTGGGTGCTGTGCTTTGACTTGAAGCATTCATTAAAGGAGGACCTTAGTGACCCTAGAGTGCAGCTTTTCCTGCAGCGGCTTTTGCAGAGCGGTCTCTTCCTTTCCGTCTCCGCTGCTCCCGTGTGTGCAAGTTTTTCACGCGCAGTGAGGCCTGCGGTTAGATCCCGGGCCTCCCCTTACGGTTTCAGTGGCGTGAGCAGTAACATGCAAGCCAAGGTAAAGCTTGGCAATCAGCTGGCAGTGTGGGTCGCCGCATTCATGACACAAGCCTTGCACCTGGGTATTGTTTTCTCCTGGCTCAGCTTCATGTGGGATTTGCACGAGTTTCAGCAGCTGGCTTGTTCCGCCAGCGTTGGTTGGTTCACGGTGGATCAGTGTAGGTTCTCGACCCCTTGGCGGAAGCGGACCCGGTTCCTTACAAGCTGTGCCCTTAGGGACACTCGCACCCTGTGCCAGTGTAAGGGTCCCCACATCCACCTTAAAGGGTACTGCAAAGCTAGGCGCTGTGCTTGGACCAAGCTTGCCGAGGCCTACCCCGCCGGGTTGTGCAAATCACTAGCCCGGGGGGTCCATCTCAGCCTAGTGCAATCCAGCGGCACAAGCAATGCCGCAGCCAGTGTGGCCTGTTCTGGGTCGGAGGCTAACCATATAGGCGAGGCTAAAAACCCCGGACCCCCTTTGTCTACTCAGGGAGGGTTGGAGGATGTACAGCTAGTAACCCCCGCCACAGCCAGACTACAAAGCCGCGTTGTGAGTGCTTTTGAGGATTGGCTTGCAGCAGAGCTTAGTGCCCCTTGTGTGCAAGCCGCCCGGTTGTGCCCCGTGCTTCTTTGCCATATCTTGAGAGCATACGGTAATCACTTGTTCTGTGTTAATAAGCCCGCGTACTTGTACCGCCATTTGCTCGCTTTTTACCAAAAGAATGCATTGCACCTTCGCCCATATTTGCCTTTAGCTTGGGATTTGCTTACCCGTTGGGAGCGAGTCAATCCGGTGCGCCACCGCACCCCGTTGGCTAAGCCTGTCCTGGATGCAATGCTCAGCACTGCCCTTGGGTGGGGCTGGGTACGATGGGCCGCCTTGACGGCCCTTGCTTTCTTTGGCCTTATGAGACCCGGTGAGCCATTGGCCGGCCGAAGGCAGGACCTGCTGTTGCCCACGGACTTGCTCTCTTTCGACAAGCCGATCCTTTTCTTCAGGATTGAAAAGGCGAAGACTCGGCACCGTGGGGGGGGCCTCATTCAGCATTCCAAAATAACCTCAGGTGTTTGTGTACAGTTGTGTGAGCTGGCTTTTTCGGACTTAGAGCCAACCTCTTTGTTGTACCCCGCTTCGGCGGCCACCTACAGGCGAAGGTGGGATGCTATACTTGAAGCCCTGCTTATCCCTAAGAGCGCTTCCCTCACCCCAGGCGGGTTACGTGGTGGTGGAGCTGTGCATGCCTACCACTCGGGCATGCCTCTCGTTGACCTGCTGTGGTCCATGAGACTGCGACACCTCCAGACTTTAGAGCATTACCTCCAAGAGGTTGCAGCCGAGAATTCTCTCCTGAAGCTATCCCAGCCATCCCGTTCCCGTGTCATAGGTGCAGCAAGACTCCTGCCCATATTGTTAGCGCACGCCTCAGCCTCTCAGCCTGCAGCGCCGTTGTCGGCCATAGAGTGACCTTCCGCCGCTCCAGGACGGAAGCGCGCCACCTTTCCAAGCTGCTGCGGCTTCAGGCATTTGTGGTAGCTCTTACGCAGGCACTTCTTGGGCCGCCTGGCCATGCTGCACTTGGCAGTCACTGCCTCTGTGTGCATCAGGGCCCTCCATGGACCATCGTGCCTTGTGCTACTACGGTGAGTGGCACGCGGTGCCCCTCTTATCACCTGTCTGACAGACCTGGCTGTCGCTGAGGAAAATGCGTGCCAGCGCCGCGCCGGCCATGCATGTCCTTGCATGCATGATCAAGCCAGCACACGCAGCGTTTGGCTGCCCGCCCATCCCGCCCAATGTAGCTCTTACGCAGGCACTTCTTGGGCCGCCTGGCCATGCTGCACTTGGCAGTCACTGCCTCTGTGTGCATCAGGGCCCTCCATGGACCATCGTGCCTTGTGCTACTACGGTGAGTGGCACGCGGTGCCCCTCTTCTCACCTGTCTGACAGACCTGGCTGTCGCTGAGGAAAATGCGTGCCAGCGCCGCGCCGGCCATGCATGTATATATATATACACATGGGTTTGTCTTTCTTTGTTATTTTGAGATGCTTCAAAAGGCAGATGGTGGGACCTTGGCGAATCATACACACGAATCATACCCCGAAACATACCCCAAAATCATACCCCCGAATCATACCCCTTCAAAACGTATGCTGCAGAAACGCAACTTTTCTGTACAGTTTGTGTTGTTGCCTGTCGCTACCTCCTACTAATACTGCTGCCGGGCCACTACTACTACTACAACTCCTACTCCTGCTAGTACTACCACTACTCCGCCTCCTACTACTACTACTACTACTATTACTGCTATACTACTATTACTACTATTACTATTATTACTACTACTACTACTACTACTACTACTACTAGTACTACGACGACGACGACGACGACGACGACGACTACTACTACTACTACTACTACTACTACTGCAACAACAACAACAACAACAACAACAACAACAACAACAACAACAACAACAACAACAACAACAACAACAACAACAACAACAACAACAACACCTACTACTACTACTACTACTACTACTACTACTACTACTACTACTACTACTACTACTACTACTACTGCTCCTACGAAAACTACTACGCCTGCTAGTACTGCTACTACTGCTACTACTACTACTACCACTACTACTACATTTGTTATTCTGGTTTGTAATCATTTTAGTTTTGCAACTAGCCGAAACATACATGCGAATCATACCCGAATCATACCCGGACAATGAGCTTCTCTTGCAAAGGCTAGTGCAGGTTGCGTTGCTCACCATGTGGCCTCCAGATTCAGATTCGCTGCGCGTGGCTACCTGGAAGATCAATCTTCATTTAAGAGGTCCCCTGTCAATGCAATCGTCCCTCCGAGGGCGGCGGAAGCGGTGCGCAGCACGAGCCATTTGGAGAACTGCGCGCTGAGAGCGCAGAGTCTGCGGGTGTCCTACTCCGAGCCAGGCAACGCGAGTGAGTGAAGAGTATGGCCAAACCGAAGTTACAGAGACGGGGAAAACTGGATGTGTATGTTTTTTTGGGCTTAGCTGCGCAAAGTGGCTATAGGGGCATATGCCAAAATAGGGTGGTTTCCCTTGTTGGTTTCTCTTCAAAACAATCGGCCAAAGGTCACCTCGAAACAAGACACGTGTCCAAGGCTAGAAACGGAACCTTCCTGGAACAAACCTTATCCTCCAAATGGGGGCCAGCGGGGTCATCATCTTGTCGATCCCTTTATGTTTTTCAGCTGGGTTTCGCTGGTGGTTTTGGCTGCTCAGGATTCGGATTCATGCTGGCTAATTCGTGCACTTCCTCATAGGTTGATTCCAAGGAGCGTTGATTGGCCAACAATTTGAACGGGGTGAACAGCCGAGAAACATGGGTGATTTCCATAGTTGGATGACCCTGTTGGGCGGTACAAAAGACACTCTGCAAGATTTCTGAGTTACGAAAGGATTTGGCCCCTTTGTAGTGACAAAGGGACGGCCGGCTGGTTATCGTTGGCATCCCCGTCCTTGTTTGTTCTGCAGACTTTCTCAGTGAGATTGGACAGTCACTACAGCGAGGCGATTTGTTGTATTGTGGGGCGGGCTCGAATGAACAGGGCTCAGGGGATGAAATTGACTCATGGCGGGCAAGCGTGCGTGTGTGCCCAAACAGCCCCTTTCTTCTTTTGGCAGCTTCACTTTGCGCTCAGTTGCTAAGCAGCATTTGCGCAGGATGAACTACGCCAGTGATGTCAACTGTGCTTCTGGGTCACTCGTTGCCTGGTTTGCGCAGAGCCGTGCAGGCGAAACTTCCGACTTCAGCATTTGCGGCTGACCCGCAAAGAAAGTTGGGGGGCAGTTTCGTGGTAGCCAAATGAATGCAGACCGGTTCGATTCGGTTTGGCCCATGCAAATACTGTGACAGCCTGCCTGAAGGCACCAATCACAACGGCGAGTTCGACTTCATCCACATTGCATCCTGGAACGGCTTCCCGCCCAAAACAGGTGCAGCTTGGTTTGGGCACCGGGCAACGGTAAAGCAGGAAAGCCGCTTGAATTTCGTGTCTCTTGTGGCCCATGGTTTGCAAGAGTTGCTCAACGTCTTGTGTTCTGAACTGGGCTCTCGTGGTCTCATTGTGCTTGTTTGGGGTTGCTTTGGATCAAGCTTACCAACTTGTGTTCGGGGGAAAGAACAAAACTCTCTTGCGGAGAGACAAACCCACTTCATATCAGCCCTCCCTATGCTCAACTAATTCAGGGTAAATCTTGCTGGGTAGTTGGACAAATTGAAGGATTCCGGGGTCCGAAATCTACCCCTTTTCTTTGTAGAACAACGCTCTTTGTCATACAGTTATGCATGTTTTTTTGGCCTGACTGAATGGGAAGCCAAAAGGACGCCTGGCTCCATTCCAGAAGTTCTTGCCTGGAGACCCGATATGGTGAATCATGGCGGTCAAATTGGGAATGTAAAGGATCCCCCGTTCATTTCAACAGGGCTGACGAAAGAGAAGGAACCTCCAGAAGATGTTTTTCAATGATTGGCTCCCTTCGGCGTCCTTACCCAGAAATGGGCGCCTGTGCTAAAACACATACCCAAGCGGGTGCAACTTGATAGCCCTTCCTGCCACCAAGCCTTTCTTGGGACCTGTCTGGGCTCCGGGAGGAAAAGAACGCTTGAGGGTTATCTGTATTCTCCAGCAAAATGAGAAAGCACGAAACGATGCTCGTGTTTGGGCAAATGCGAAGAAGGATCCCTGGCTTCAGAGCAGGGGAAGTACTGCTAGAACTATTCGGGAGTTTCCCAACATGGTTGGTGTTTAAGGAACACCAAACGGAAGCCAACCGTTTCAGGGCGTCCCCTATTCGTTTCGGTTTTGATTTTGGTTGTTGTTGCAGTCGTCGTCGTGTTCTTGGTGGTCGTGGTTGTTGGTCGTTGGCTGCTTGTGCTGGTCGCTGGTTGCTGGTTGTTTGTTGGTTATTCCCTTAAGTGAGTGGGCCCTTTTCTGCCAGTGGGCAAGCGAGTAATTAGAGGTCATGTTTTTATTTGAAGCCACAGATGTCCACCTGTACACTACCTTTTGCTCCTCAGCTTAATGCGGATCCCACAAGTCCACATGTTTTAGAGGAGTCTTTTTTTGGGGACCCCGCTTTGGGGTTCCATGCTAACTTGTGGGGGAGCATCTAAGGGCTAAAGCTTGCCTCCAAGTTCTACGGCGAGCTTGGCTTCTGGGCAAGGACGGGGGAAGCTCGTCGGGTGTTTGTGCCCCCGCAGCCACTCAGGCGGCGGCTAGTTGCCGGTTCTCGGTTTGGGGTTCCTTGTTGAAACCAGATGGGACGCTCGCCCAAGCCTAACCCACATGTTATATAGGGGTAAGGTGATCTGCTGGTCTTGTGTTTTCCCTCCATCAAGGGTCCCTGTATTGAGGCATTTTAACTATCGCCTTCAGGGCCGTTAGCCTGTTGGTTTCTGAAGTGAGACTTCTGGTGCGGGGATGTTTTGTTTAGGGACATGTAAGCAATCATCCCTTCGTCTTGAGCCATTCAAGGCATCTTCTTTTGCCTTGCCGATTGTTTCTTTGCTTGCATACCAACCGATCAGGGTCAAACGTCGCAGAATATCATTCTTCCCGTCTTGTCTTTCAGCTTGTTGCTTATGTCTGTTGCGGCTTTTTCGGTGGTGCTGCTCTTTCTCTTGGCTGCTTCTGTTCTCCTTCCCTAAGCTCCGCTCCTACTGCTCATGATTCTTGCTCGCGTAGTCACCATAGTTGTAACGGCGTGCCGGCGCTCAAAACGCTACCCAAATCGGTACCAAAACGAACCCCTGGCATTGTAGCTGTCGCCTTGAGTGAGGGCTGGCCCATGTCTTTATGAAGTGTAGCTTTCCGTTGTTGCTGCTTTCCTGCCTCCTACTCTTTTCGCTTCCTATCTCTGCGTTTCCTTCTCCCGCCTTTTTCTTGTTCTGATCCTTTTGCTGCCTCTTTCCTCTTTCCTCTTTCCTCTTTCCTCTTTCCGTCCTTGTTCCATTCCTATTCTGTTGCGTGCTTCCTGCTCCAGCTCTGCTTCTTGGATTGCTGTACTTTAGACACATCAAACAGTTTGGTCTGACCCGCATCGGGGAAGTTCGCGGAAGATTTCCGGAAGGGCGAGGCGGAGACCGTTTTTGGAACAAGGAATATTGGACAACCCCCACACTCATATATACATATATATATATATATAATTACATTTACACCGGACTATCCCATTTATGAGTGCGTGTGACCCTGCTGCGCCCGAGGGTTCCGCGTGTTTCTCGCTCAAAAACCACTCGCAAAGGAAACTAATTTGAGCAACGCCCGAAACCAAACAAGTTGGCCTTGTTTTTTGGGGGGGGGGCCGGGCAATGGTTTTAAGGGGGGTGCGTGAAGATGAAGCCAGGTAGATGAACACCTGAATAATTGATGAGGATCATGAGAAACGCCTGCTGAAAGTGGAAATCGTCGCTTTTGGTGGGGTAAGACAGACATGTTTCGAAAAGTGAGGTGGTTTCAAGCACCCGGCATCCCCAATCTAATAGCTTAGGCCTCTGCACTACAACCAAGAGTCAATGGGTCGGCGTTCGCTGGACTCTTGCAAGGTGCACTTGGATGTGTGATGCAGCGGCCAAAACCATTTGCCACTTGGGGCCCTTGGGGCTGCGTGTCAAGGATTTTTTTTGGGGGGTCTCGAAAGGTCCCCCTTAAAACTTTTGACTAACCCACTTGCGGGTTAGCAAGTAGTGGACATGCCACGGCGATGGCTTCTCTAGTGATTGATGCTTTGTCGCTCAATCTGGGGGTCTTTGACCACAACCCCAATGCATGTTCCGGCACTCAACTATACAGCAAAACTACACAGCTGAAGTGACGCGGGAAGCCTTTCAGCAACCCCATAGCCCATAGCAGCCCAAATAGCGTCAGCTTATTGCCGAACTCCTCGGGATAAGGACTTCTTTTTCCCGGTGCAGGCGGGACCTTCGAGGATTCCTTTGATTTTCTCACGGACAGAAATGGGCGTCATGACCACTCAGCAAGGAAGAAAAGGATTGCTTCCTAAACATGAAGAAGGAACCCAACAGCTTTGCAAAGTACTTAGTGTTTTCCGCTGCTCTTTCCAGACGGCCTGTTTCATGCAAGTGTTGCCATCCGAGGTGAGTGCCAGGTTGACTACTCCGTGATGTGCAAGGGCACATCCGTGTACCTGAATGTGGAGGATTCCTGCAAGGAGCGGAGCGACACCAGGCGGATGGATCGAGGGCGAAAGGTTTCGGGGCTCCGTGAAGCGGCTGTTGGCCCTTGCCCTCAAAGCAACGGGTTCGCAAGGAGGGCAGTGGTTTATGTCGTTCCTCCAGGCCATTCTGTTATGGAGAGGAGGTCCAGTGTTGAGTTGACACTAGGACTTGTCCTTCTCCGATTCGTCGGGCCTTGGGAACTCCCAACTAACACCATTTTTGCATCAAGTTGACTTTTAAGGTTACATTGCACATTTTCACCGACATCAGTCTACAACTGCAACAGGTTGCGAAAAGCTGAGAGGTGATTCTCGATCCTTCCGGAGCAAATTCCGACCAAAAAGTGCCAGTTGGTCCTTGGCGACACGACTTGCTGGTTGTTTTGAGTACTCGGAGCCCAGGACTACTAAACCTCGATTGTTCTTTTCGCCCTTCCCCACCCTATGTGTGTTTGTTTTATTTTTAACGGGGATTCCGCATCATTGTTGGGGAAACGTTTTCCCGTGTTTTTCCACCAAGTTGATGAAAAAGCGGGGTCGACTTAAAATATAATGCCTCCAAGAATCCCTGTCTCAAACGGTTGGCAAAGGCATATCCATTTTACAGATACCTCCGCCAACTGAAGCATTCCAACCGAGTCCAAGGATAATTTCTTGATTCTTTTTCAAGTTGGGAGCGAGAGGGGTTGGCTCTGCTCGTGGAAGTGTCAGGTCCTTCACCATGGGGATGAGCAGGCAGACAGAGCTGCATAAAGCTGGCGAGAGGCCAGAGAAGAGTCGAGAGCGGTTCGTCAAGTTCACAAGTGGATGTCACTTGTTATTTCCTCTCAGCAGGGAATGAGGGAACGAACCTTATAAACCATCCCTTGTGGCTTTTCTTCATGGGGACCCCCTGGTTCATTCCCTCATTCGACTGAGCACCAGCAATTCACTTTCTAAGTTTTGTTTGCTTTCGGTTCGGGTTTGCCAACAAGACCAGCCAACACCTTTCCCCGTTTGCTGAGAATCGATTGGCCTCCTTGCCCAGGTCGGCTTCCGCGTTTTTGAGGAAACCCCCTTGTGGGTAAGGCACGCAGTTGCAGTGCATCCGCTTGCACCCAAGGTCGCAATGAAGAACCTGTTTTGGAAGGGATCTTAATGAGTTGAGCTGATGTTTTTTTTTTCTTTTGTGAGTGTTTTTTTGTTCAACGTTGCCATATTGGAAGTTTCCTGTTTGTGGGGTGTCCTTTCGCTTGAACACGTGTTAGGTTTGGTGAATCAAATCGGTAGGGGAAACTCACCAAATTCACAAAGAAGCACAACCCAGATTCTCACTACTTATCCGACTTATCCGATGTCCTTTACGACAAGCACATAAATTTTGTCCGTGATCGTGCTGAACTGCTTGCGAAGACGCCACAACTCCGAACGACACAATGTGCTTCTCGCCAAAGAACCCTCAAGTGCATGCCCCTGTTTGTCTATAGCTCCCACCCAGTATTTTCCATGTTGTCCCATTCTTTCCTGATGTTTGCCTCTCCCATGTTGAGGACAATATCTTCCCATGTTTGTTCTTTGCCCCCTCCCCCCAATGTTTTCCACGTCTCCCAGGTTTTTGCCTATGACGAGCTGAGCAAAAAGCACCCATGAGCCTGGGAAATCCACGTCTTATTTGGGTTCTGGAACAGTTTGGTGAATCTGCAGATCCATAAGGGCACTCTGGGTCCAAACCATTCTTTTGATCTCCAGGCGGCCTGCCGCCTCACCTCAGCCTCCTCCCCCCCTTGCTCCTCACCCTCCTCCCCGCCGCTCCGCTCGCTCGCGCGCAGCCTCCTTCCCTCCTTGTCGCATCCTCTGCGCCGCGCACGAGACATGAACCTAAAGGTCTACCTGCCGCGGCGGACGGTGAGGCCCGCCGCGGGGTCGCATGTTGACTGGGCAAATGCAGTTACTTGATGGTGCATGCTCCGAACCTGCCACAATAGCATTGCAGCAAAGGGAAATATGAAATCTCCTACTTGGATTTTCAACCCTCTTAGTAGTGCAACTCACATGTGTTTTCGATTTTTGGTGGGGGTCCCTCGAAAATCAACGCAACAAGGGCCCAGCTTTTTTCCAACCCCAAACCTGTTGTTCTGCCTCCCTTGTGCTACTAACCCTGATGTTGCTAGTCATTTCCAGGGTAAGACTTGGATGGCACAGCTCCCTTTATGTGGGTGAGTCAACGGGATAGCTGAACAAACATGGGTATGTCAATGTGTCATTTACCTTGACCCAACCAGCCCCCTATATTGCTGGGTCCCTTAAAGTTAACCAATTTGAGTGGCTCTCAAACATACTTTCGGAACCGTTTCCCCTTGAACCTGCTTTTAGCGGGTATTCTTGAGGGTGTCAATTGATGGACCCTGTTTATTTTGGCCCAATACATGGGTCGTCAAAATAGAGGAGACCCCAAAGTGCAGCCTTCCTCTTGGTTTCCGTTAAGCCAAGCATTCGAAAGGTACAAAGGTGCCCAGGGCCCTCGATGTACATGGCCGTAGGGCAACACTGGGCATGTCTGTTTTGAGGTTACCAAGGTGCAAGTTCCCCCTTGGTGTCTAGCCTTCTGTGCCCCACATTCTTGTGTGGGGTTCTTGTAATGTCGTGGTCCGCGCCACTCTCTTCTCCTTCTCCTTCCTTCCTCCTCCTCCTTACTCCTCCTCCTTGCTCCTCCTCCTTACTCACTCAACTTACACTCACTGACGCACACATCCATACTTTCACTCACTCACTCACTCACTCACTCACTCACTCACTCACTCACTCACCCACTCACTCACTCAACTTGCACCAACCTCACTGACACTCGCTCCACTTACACATACGTACTCTCGCTCACTCAACTTACACTCACTGATTTCAGACTCACTAACTTAACATACGTTCTCTCTCTCTCTCTCACTCGACTTACCCTCACTGCCTTGCAACCACTCTGACTCTCAATCACTCAGCTTACCGTCGCGTGCAGTGCGTGAATTGAGATCGGCCACTTGCAGCCACTTGCAGCCGCTCGAGCGACCACAAGAGGCCGCAAGTGGCCACAAGTGACCGCAAGTGGCCTTTGGCTGCCGCTAGGAGCTGCAAAGTGGCCGCAAGTGGCTTCTGTCGCTGTGTGGGAGATGCTGCTTATCCAGATTTTCTTAGCAAGGCAAGGAGTGCTGCTGGCGATGCTCTTGATGCTGGGGGTGCTACCGGGCCCTTGTTTCAGCACGAAAAGTGCTTGAGTCGTTGTGCTGAAAGCTCGCGCCGTGCGAGTGGCTCGTTTGCTGCCACGCCGAGTTCTTCATCCAGGTCTGTTAAGCGATGCTGAGGGTGTTGCTGGTGATGCCGACGATCCTGGGTGTTGCTGAGCCGTGTTTCCAGCACAAAAACTGTCTGAGTTTTTGTGCTGAAAGCTCGTGCCACGCAAGTGGTTCAAAGGGCTGCTCACCCACTGTGCCGAAACCAGCGAAAACAGCGAACGTGGCATTTCTGACTATGCAGAGGACAACCAGTGCCGCAGTTTGTGTGCTGAAGGCTGATGCAACGCTGCCAGCTCATTTGCCGAAACGAAGGGCTGCTTACTAAACTGTATTGTTGCTGCTTGCAATGTTGTTGTGTGCGGTGTGGTCACTTGCAGCTGCTCGACTGGCTGCAAGTGGCCGTACACTTTCTCTCGCTCGCTCAACTTACAGTACACTCGCTAACTTTCGCACACTCACTCTCACTCGCTCAACTTGTGCGCGCCAATGTTCGCATGCCGAGACTCTCGCTTTCTCAACTTACACTCGCCAAACAATCGCATACTTACTCGCTCAACTTACCCACATACGTACTCTCGCTCACGCAACCGACACTCACTAACTGACACTTTCTTGCCCTCACTCGCTCAACTTACACTCTCTAACTTACGCACACTTTCTTTGACTTACGCAACTTACGCTCACTAACTTCAGCTCTTTAGGCTGCTCTGCGCGGACCGCGTGCCGCGGGGATGAGTGTTGTTTGCTTGGCAGGGGCAGTACTTTGCGCGCGGCGATGCGGTTTTGCATCAGACATGTTCGTTTGTGGTCAAATACCTTCATGAGTCATGAGCAACCCAGCGTCAGCAGCGGCGTGCATAAGGCTCTGCGCCGGCCAAGCAAAAACAGCATCAGCATGCACAAAACAGCATCAGCATGAACAAAGCACTGCCGCGCAAATAACGCGCATCCCCACGGCACCCGGACCAGTCTAAAACATTCTCATTCACGAACATGAAACATTCGGTTTAGGGTCACATCAAGCAAAGGCCCCGCTTTAATTGCATGGCCTGGCAATTATCATGTCATGGGTACAGGGCGCCCTCAGTACAGGGTGGCAGGCGCTTCGATAGGGGTTCGAACGGCACCCTTGTGAAGGACAAATGTGGGACAGACCCATACTACTGCGGGTTTCTAGCAGATTTTCGCCAGGTTGTTCACGGAGGGCTCAAAGGTGGTCTTCCAGTGGGGAGGCCCAGAAAGGAGCGAGTCGCCCTCTGGGCACACCGTTTCTGGGAATTGGTACATATGTTGGAAGTGAAAGGGAACAACCACAATCCTCGTGTTGGTCAGGAAATCAAGGGACACCCTTTTTTTGGGTTCTTGAGAAGGAACCAGTACACTCTTAGGGGACTTACAACTATGGTGCAGGACTGCAGCCATCTTAAATGGATGAATATGGTGTGTGTGTGTGTTTTGTAGATTTGGTCCGATTTGGTACTTGCACGCCATTTGTGTTGCCCAATTTTTAAGCCGTGATGTTGTGCTTGTTGGTACCTCCAAGAGACAAAGGCGTGTGTCCTAAAACAGGCGCCCCCCTCGCCAATCAGAAATATCTTCCCTTATATCATATTATATATATATGCTTATGGAGGGGCTTTGCCTCGTTCGCCTCGCAAAACATCCCGACCGGTTCCTTGTCTTTGGAAATGCCACGTTTAGTTGCTTGGCGGAACCGTCGCGTCAGGTCAATTACAAAATAGGACAGACGAAGGAATGAACGGAGGGTACCTCCATTGAGCCTTGTGAGCAGTTACGGGGCAGTTTGACCGACCAACAGAGTGCTTTGTGAGATGCCCGTGGTGCCATCGTGAGACGTTTCTGGCGGGCCCATCCTGTTACCAATAGACCAAACTTCCCATTCACCCGGATATGCGCCATAAAACATGCCAATCCTGGACAATGCGTTCTTAGCTCCTTGGTACTGATGATCCTGGAGAATCAAGCCATTGCGTCACTTAGGAACGGGTATGTTCATGTTTTGTTTCCCTGCTCCGAGAATTCCTTGTTTTATCAAGGGCGTTGCAAATGGTTTCGCCGACCTTCATTTGTTGCCTGAGTTTGCCTGTGTCGACCATTTCAAGGGATCCCTAATTGCATTGCCATCTATGGGACATCAAACAAGACGTTTAGTACCAGAGGCTGGTCCAGGCTGGACCCACACTTGAGCGAGCGGAAAACCAAGGGCTCTTGTTCGGGTTTGAGGAAGCCTGCGTTCATCAAGTGGGGTCATCAGATTCACATCTCTCTTTCTCTTTCTTGTCTTTTTTCTCTCTTTCTCTCCCTTGCTCCCTCTGTGTGTGTGTCATAATAAAGAGGGGCCCTCTTGGAACGACGCTCTTAAACGGAACCCGGATGAAACCTGTAAACTATTTGGAGGGACCAGAGGTCGAAGGTGGACCCTGGTTAGCTTGGCGCTTGGAACCGGTCACATTTTACAGGGCCTCTGAAACGGATCTCAGGGCATTCAGAATCCCTGCGCAGAAAAGGCTCTCACAACCCTACTGACAACCCCGTTCTAAGAGTCCTTGAAGAGCCTTTTGCTGGACAGAGGCGGTCCTTGTTTTTTTTTGCCGGAGTCCAGGTTTCCTATTTCTCCCAAGCGCTGCCATGCCGAGGCTGATTTCCACCCCCACGCTCCAGGACCCGGCGGATTCGCCCTTAAGGGGCTAAACAGAGGCTGCAAACCGCTTTTAGAAGTGTGTGTTTCTGCAACTTTAACCTATTTTTTTCATTTCGCGCTTTAACAGGGAGATAGAGTAGGTCAAGGCACTTCCCCCTGTTGAATCTTTACAAGTTGAAGTTCCAGTGGAACCCACCCGTTGATTCTTCAACGTATCAATCTTTCGAGAAGGTTCGAGCCCATGGCGCCGGAGATCCACCTTCGGTGAGTGCCCAGCTCGCAAGCATGGAAAAGTGTGCCCAGCAACAAAAGGACAGTTGCCGTGCACCACGGATGATAGGAACATTCATGGATTCCTTCATTTGGGTTGCATCAGGCGACGAGAAACCAGAGAGGGAGAACTCATGGGAGGTCCGTTCAACATATTCAGTGGTCTATGATGAACTTGAGAGGAAGCTGGGGTTGACACACTAAATGTCCAACAAAGACCAGGGGCTCGCGGCTCGCGATTGTTTTACTTTCAACACACCATTTCACTTTGGGTTGGGATGGCCGTGCGCCCTGGGGAACAAGGCAGCAATGTAAGAAGTAAGGGAGCCGTGTGCTACGAAATTTGGCAGGGAACCACCTTAAAAGTGGTCGGTGGACATGAATCCGTGATGTCCAGTAAAAGGCCCTCCATTGCAGAACAAACACGCATCTGTGCGGCAGATGGTTCAGGAGCAGCTGGAGGACCCCACTAAGATGATCTTCTTCGCCCGCGTGCCAAAGCTCGCATGGGCGCTCAGCTGCCGGAGGGGGTGTGTGGGCGGGGTATTGCAAGGTTGACTTGATATTGTCCAATAGAGGACTCATTGGCGGACAGCATTCACATGGGGATGTGTGTCCACATTGCAACTCATAGCCAGTTGAGCCATATGGAGCACGATCAGCACCGGGGGCGTTGGTTGGTTCCAGCGCCTATTTGTGAGCAAGACCTCAAAAGTTGGGTGCGAAGAAGTGTGCCGCCCCAATCCTACCAACACATGGGGTGGGGGGGGGTGTCAAAAGTAAAGACCCTTGGTGGTACTCCATGAATTACTCCCTCTGAAAGGTGGCACAAGGCGTCGCCAGGGTCCAAAAAGGCCCCGGAACTCGAGACTACATGTTTGCCAACGCGCCACATAGTGATCAGCTTGCAAAATCGGGCACCTTGCCATCGGAGCTTGACGCCTAGCGTTCCGGAACGCCGCCCAACGGACGAAAGCTCCCCGAATGAAGTGTTGAATTGTTTGAATTCATGACATATCATGAGACCCTTGTGCACACATCTTTGAGTCGCAGGGTGTAGGCGACCCACCGATGGGTTTCTTTTGGGCTTCCTTTCAAGGGTTGACTTTGCTGCAAGTGACGGGTGCCTGGCTTTGGCATGGGGGGACGGCGCACTTCGTCACAGAAATGGATCCTCGGCCAGCGATGAAGCAAACAAACCATTTGCGAGGCGAGCTGCTTGCCGCAGCGCCGCGACAGACTCTTCCAGTCGAACCTGCACAACGGCAGTGGCTTTGGCAAGCACTCACCCAAACACACCGATCCCGGTTTCGGTCTACCCTCGATCATGGAACCTGAGAGGAATTGGTTGGAAAGGCTACTTTCCTTGGGGGGGCAGCCCCCAGTTCCCTTCCATGATTGTTGAAAAGAGGGTAGCTTAGTCCTCCCTGAAAGGTATGACGAACACATGCCCTTTGAGCATGTCTTGTTGTGAGGGTACCGCTTTTGGGACTGCTTGAAAGGGGAGCCAACTAGATACCCCGCTTTGGGTTTCCGTATGCTATTTTGAGACAACACCGGATGGGTTAGTAGCCAAGTAGGGATGTGAATATCGTTGTTTGCCCCAGATGTGTCGAACTTGGGGAGAGATAGTTCAAACACCCTCCCTCTTCCCCCCTTCCCCATGGTCCATGGCTATGAGTTTCGATTGGAAATGGGCCCTTCGGCGGACATCATTCGTATCGGGATGTAGGTCCCACCAACCATTGTCAGAATGTTCTCATGAACATTCGAGGGACTGATCGCCTTCGGGAGGGGACTTGGGGGGCATGTGGAGCAACCTCAACACAGGTCTTGCTTTTGCTTGTGGACGGGTTTAAACAATGAGCCCTGGTCCGTTCAAAGGGAAACCCAAAGGAGGTGGTTAAAGAATAGTGGTTCGAGCATGTTTAGGCGAGGCCCAACCTTGGTTGGGGGTCGGCGAGTCACACATGGATGTGAGACGTGTTGTCAGGTTACAGCGCGCAGCAGTGCGCGGCCTGCCACAATTTGTTGGAGAGCAAGATGAAGGCCGGGTTGTGAGGTGCATGGCGGTTCCTGCTTGGCCAGCGGCTTTTTTTTTTTGCTTTTTGTTTGGTGTCTGCCCCACTAAAGTGGTCAAGAATCCCAAAGTAGCTCGTCGCTCTCGTCTCTGGGCAAGGCAAGCTCGCTGATTCACCACTGACCGTCCGTCCTGATTGCTTTATGTATTATTTCGAATTTCGGAATTGTAGCACTTTGCCTAGGTACGGTGTAGATTTAAAGAGGGGGATCCCTCCCGGCAGCGTTTGCCGTTTCGTTTTTGAAGAAGTCATCCACAAGTAGTTCCCTATTTCTGGACACCAAATCGGTCGTAGCTTAAACCCAAAGAAAAGCGTCCCCCAAGAATTCACTACTTGAATGGTCGCCCTTTGAACATCGGGGCCGGCCTCTGCACATGGTTTGATACCTGGTTGATTTTCGGGAGCAAGGCCAGCTCATGAGTCGAAAAAGGCGACGAGGCTGCTGAGTGAACAAAATGATTGGAGCTGTTCCAGCGCATGCGATGGAAGAGGCCCAGTGCTCGCCGACCAAACCTTTCTGGTACAGGCTCCTTTCGTTCTGGCCGCTGGCGCTTGGGAATCCTTCAAACGTGGCGAATACCCAACAAATATGCGTCCCAAAGGCCCGAGCGCTAAGAACGGGGCTGTTTAGACAATCTTGTTTGGGATCTCCCAGCAAAAGTGTAGGATTCCTTGGGCGACCTTGTCCCACAAGCGGTCGCGAAAGGACCGCCCTGGCTGAGAAAAGGTATCCCTTAATGCCCTTTTGTCTTTTTTGAGAGCTTTTGGTAGTGCACCCTTGTCTTCAAAAGGCCACTGGCGGTTTGGGTTCAACGCCGATTGTTGAAACAGGTTCTAAGCCACTGTATAGCCACTCGTGGCATATGCCCCGTTTTCCTCTGGGTCCCGGTTCGTTTGGGTGTTAGTAGAGATCAGGGCGAAATGTCTTTAAACATCCATGTCCTAGCTCTTAAAGGGAAACCAACACGAGGAGTGTTGACACAATGGGATGAAGAACTTCAAACAAGGGTTGAATCGACCTCACGCTGGCAGACATCCGCGCCAAAAACTTTGCTCAGGACCTCGACGAGTGCTCCGTGGCCGAGACGCAGCCCGGCGAACATGGGAATTGCCCCGTCATGCCATGGGGCCTCCCCAATGTTTTTCTCCACGCTGGGGGGGGGGGGGCGGGGGGAACTCAACACAGCATTTCCTAAGCTGCATTTGAGAGGGACATGGGGGGACAAGCTATAAATTCCCACACAACCACGGGACTCAATTTCCCATGTCCTCTTGGGGGAACAAGTAGTTTGGACCGCGGCTCAAATATCTCAAAGAGGAAAGAGGAACATCGGACCCATCAACAAGGGGTGGGGTGGTTGGAGTTTTTCCGGGTATATGCTTGCCTTTTGGGGGAAGACGTGCTGGGCAAGCAAGAGTGGGAATATTTAGCACAAGCGAGCCCATTCTGGGGTCGACCATTCTTAGTGGGGGACCCTCCAAACACAGATGGAAAACGGGTGCGGGAGGCCGCTCCAGTTCTGATAGAGCTCCTCCTTCAAGCTAGATTTTGTCGGAGCGCCCAAATAATGCGAGGGTGAACAGTATGGCCCCCGTGCTCTTGCTTGCGAGAGCCATCAAATCAGCCTTACACTGTAACGCCAGCCTCCCGCGTCTCCCGCGTTGTGTTGGGAGGTTTCCAGGGTAATGGGTTGAACAATGTTGAGCATCTTTCAAGCAATTGTGTTTCGAGAAGCTGCTTTTGGTTTTTCCCTTTTGTGCCCCACCTGCGTCACGCGCCTTCCTGTGCATCGAGAACGGCGGAACGACCTCCTTGAAGGCAACCAGACGCTTTGTGGATCCCCTTTCTGGAGACAGACAGCTGTCAATGCCCCCCCCATGTTGGTATGGCAGGTCTTCTCCAATCGTTTGGACACGATTCGGCTTTCTGTAAAAGGGTTGCTAGGGTTTGATACTCTTGCTTGCTCGGAGAACTGGAAGACCTGGACCAGCACCCTTTCTCCAGCGGGATTGTCAAACGGGTGAAAGTAGAACGGGCTGCTGTCAATTCCAACAGGTTTGGTTCGACCCTCTCCTTGCCAAAATGGGTCGGATTATTGAGAGAGAGGGACACGACCAACGGCAAGTTGTGGCCAAAGCCCAACGTCCCTCCCGGCATCGCAGGGGCGTCGCAGGGTCTGATTGTTTTTAGGGATCCTTTGGTGGACAATATTGACATGAGGATTTATGCTAACCCACCATTTTGGAGGGTGTTCCATCCTTTGACATTCATAGCCGCGTGGGTCCCAAGAGGAGCTCGGATTTTGGACACCCGGTTTGAGAATGTCGATACCAGATTCATAAACCTTGTAGATTGATAGGGATCCCCCCGCCACCGAAAGTGAAGGATTTCTTGTAAAGTACCAGACCCCTTTTAGGTTCCTTTTTGAATTGACATTCGACTCTTTATGCGGAGCCCGTCCTGGTTCGGAGAGATGGGTGGTACCCACTCCGGATTTGTTCTATAAACCTTGGTAGTTGGGGAGGTGAGGTCTTCTTTACATTGGGTCGGAATTAATCAGCGCCAACCTAGCTCTTTTTAGGCCATTCCCTTTCAAGGGTACCTTATTCAATAAAGGACACTCCAGACCCGACAGTGGCGCAGGCAAGGCCGGTGCACAGAATGTCGGAAGGTAAGTTTCGTCAGAATGGCAGCGGGTCGGTGTCTGGCCAGGATCAAGAACCCTGGTGATAATAGGTGCCCCATGGTTTTAGAGGGGATCTTCACCTACCCGTCACCTGGGACCCGACCTGCAAGCGGCTGGATTTCACGTGAGGAAGGAGGCGCGGCTGCGCTGCAAGTGGCTGTCTTATGAGCTGCGCCAGGAGCCAGCTTGGGGGGGGGGGGGGGGGGGACTTTTTGTTGTTTCTCCCAGAAGCTGGCGGTTTCCGGCAGACCATCCTGATTTTGTGCTTTGGGAAGCTCATCTATGACCGTGTGGGTGCTCATTTTGGGGGTTGTTTGAAAGGGAAACCCAAGTGATCGGCAACCAGTGCGGACTTCTAGGTGTTTCCCCCAATGATCCGGATGCCCTCTCAAATGGGCCCCCAACTAATCCGCCACAATTGGATTTATTTTGGATCAGCACTATGTGGCAGGGTCGATTTCCCTCTCAATGTATAGCAAAATGTTCAGGAGCAACCGGGCAGCTCTGGCGCGGACATCAGCGATCTCATCCTGCGGAGCTTGCACTCGGAGTCGGAGGACGAAGGGCGAAGGGGCCTTGCAGGAATGTGGGCGAGCTCACCGATTCGGTGGTCGAACGGGTTTGCCATGATGTAGGCCCTTCATATGGATCCATTTTTTTCAGGTTTTGGACATATTGCAGATTTTGCAGACGGAGGGTGCCGGCTTTTTGGAAAGGAAACTGAGAACGTGCCGTGCCCCTTTCAGAGGTCGGTTCCTGTCCTTGAAGAGGGACATAGCAAGCCCCGAATCCTCCACTCCTTTGGAGTAACACCTCCAAATCCTTCTGCCAACCTTGCGGCGACCGATCCGGAGGTCCACGACCCGATGAAAGTGATTTCAGGTCGCTCGGATGCGCGTTTTTTTTGGTAGGAGGCGCTGCCGTTGCCCCTGGCTTGGCAGCTCGGGTGCCAGGACACCCATGCTTTCCTCCTAGACTCGTGAGGAGGGCATCTGGCGGTTTTTTGAAATAGGGGTCCCTTAAAATGCGGGTTCCCGTTAGTTTCCCTTTGAATACCTACCAAAGAAGTTCAACCATTTTGAGAAGCTGCGATCTAGCCACCGCCTCGTCTCTTAACTTCCTTTTCCGCGCTAAAAACCAATCACAATGTGGGCGCGGGCTGAACCAAAGACTGACCGAGCTCACCTGTGGGTAGAACGAGCTCACGCATGATGAAGGTCTTTTACCTCTGGGAACCCGCTTCCCATTTCTCAGAAGCACTTTTGGGCCCGTTGGGACCCTTTTTGAGCAAGCCTCATTTGGGGATGATTCCTTTTCGTCAGGGCTGGTTTGTGCTTAGGGCTGACTTCGTTGGGGGCTGGAAGAGTTGCTTGAATCGGAATGGGGGAGAACACCCCCAGCGTCATGTAGCTCTTGTTTCTGCTGACTTGCCACACATTTTAGCACAACATTTGGGGCTGGTGAAGTGGGTCGGGGCTGGTGTGCGGCTGGCTCTGGGCTGGCTGAAACTTAATTTCGGGTGGGTCTTGTTCTGAAGTGCGGCTTATGCTGCTTGATGTAGGGTTGATTTGTTGCCGCGGGCTCGAGTTGCTGATTTTAGGTTGGTTGTCAGCTGGTTGGTTTTTATTTATATAGCCCCACCCCTTCTATCCCATGTCCTAAGCAGGCTGAACATCCAAGCACTTGACCCCGCCAATCAGTAGGATTTGGGGTGCTGCCCGCTGGACCCGGAGCAAGCCAAGATGCTGGCCAGCGAGGAGGGGGGGCCCCGGGAGCTGCTCGGTTTTTCAACCTTGCCCCCTGAAAAGGGCCACTCCACTTTCACGCGCTGAAGAACTGGGGTTCCTGTGTTTCCCACCCAAACCGGCGTTTCGACCCTGTTACCTTTTGTCTTGTGGGCTCAAAACACAGGTTGGGCATCGAGCAAACAGGGCTTCCCCGGCTTTGGGTGTTTTTCCTAGTAAGGAGATGTGTGCCATGTTTCTGGCTCTTTGTTGGTAAGCCCGGATGTGATGGGTTCCGAAACCTCTAATGCTCAGCAGCAAGGGGTTCATCTTTTCTACCAGGGTCGTTGGGCAACGGGGATTTCAATGCGAACATCTCGGGTGTTGAATCTCTCCAGTTTGCCTTTTGGCCGGTCCATTTCTCCATCACGCATGGGGACAAATGATATTTGCGCCAACACGTGCATGTGCCACCTGACGAGTGGCGATATGATTGGTGACGGTCCCGAGGAAACCGGTCCCACATGCAACAAAACCAAACGGAGCCAAAGGACGTATATTGACTGCGAGCCTGTCTGCGCAGGCGGCTTCAGGTCATCAAACAACACAGCGCGTGGACAAGCCTAAGGGCGGGTTACCAACTTAAGTAATTGACCGATGCGGACAGATCCGCCAGTCACTTTGCCGCTCCGAAATGTGGTCCTTTGTGCATTTGTGGTTTTGATCCAGCACCGCGGTCAGCGCGGAGTGCTGGGCCCATGGCCCCAGTGGCATGGCTCTGGGGGCTACGGAGAATCCGCTTGCCTTCGCTTGCCGAATCGTTGCCCTAGCCGCTGAAAGTCGCAAGCGTCTGCGCTTTTTGGCAAGGCCCAGCAGTCCTTGGCCATGGAGAAACAAGTGGCCAGCCGCAGGCGGGGCTTGTGCGCGGGGTGAAGGTCGGCGTCCCGCAAAAAGATCGACAAGACTAGGGCCTCTTAAGAAAAACCTTTTGGCTGAGGACCCAGGCTTCCACATTTTGACACCCCTTTCCCATTTTTGTTCCGAACCGGAAGGTCAACCAGCGAAGGGCTCCCTTTTGCACCAATGGCCACCCGGTGCTCGGGCATTGCGGCCCATGGCCTCCAAGGAAACATGGCAATTGGCCAGAATTGGTATGACTGAACGGACTCCAGCTTGTTTCTTGGGCCCGTAAACTAGAAGGCAAGCTGGAGGTCAAACAAGCGGTTTGGGGTTGGACCGGTCACAAAACGCGCCAAATCGCCCGCAAGGTCGGAGTCTCAGGCAGATGTGGCGAGCACTCGGCAGCAGGGCCTCGCGGAGTCTTGGCTTATGAGGGAAGGGGATCCAGTGGCAAAATCGCCAAGTTGCAGGGTTTTTCCTTTCAACAATCATTGGATTGCATCCTTGTATATTTTTGTCTAAGGGCAAAGGCATGGCGGCCTCTGGCCGACATAGTCCCCCCAAATTCAACCCCCCCCACCCCAAATCCACATTCGTGAAATTGAATGGGGGTTACATAGGTTCTAAAGCTTATTAAAGCTTGTTACAGCTTATTAAAGTCTATTTCCTTGTTATTTTGCAAGAATAATTGAACTTTAATACAGGCAAAATAGTAGCACTTACCAGCAGGTATGGTCTTATTATCTTATTTATGCGTGCGCTGTCGGGAATGCCGCGCAGCTGGATAGTTCCTAGGAAAGACTTGAGCTGTTAGATGCTTTTGGCAGCTATTTAGTGCCCATTAAAGACTATTTGGCAGCTACTTAGTGCCTATTAAAGACTATCTGGGGCTTATTCTTGGGACGCCTGGGATTGCTTTCTATTTTGTGCTTATGTTTGGCTTGTTAACGCTTACTAAAGCTTATGAACGCTTATGAAAGCTTGTAACGTTTGTTTGGTCTATTTTGCGCTTATGTTGTGCGCTTATGTTGCCCTTTCTCTTTAGCCCCCCTGTGCAGTTCCTTCCCATGTGCACTCACGCTACATTCTAGCCCGGGCCTCGCCCCCCGCTGATTCCAGAGCCGATGCCGCTGTTGTCATTTGTAGTTGCTGCTGCTGTTGCTGAAACGGGCTAGTTGGTCATCAGACGCCGACAGCACTGCGTGTACTGGCTACAGCAGACAGGCTGTTGTTCATGTATGATGATCGGAATTCAGAGGTGTGCCCTGACTCCTCCTACAATTTTGGGTTTGGGGTTTCGGGGGGTGGATTTGGGGGGGTCTAGTTAAAATGCTCACTGACTCAGTCTGGGCCCTCTTTGGTTTTTAACAGTTCCATTTTTGGGTCTGTTGAGGGAACCCAAAGCGAAGCCGAAGCGTATCTTGTGAGGTTTGTGTCAAGCTGTGGAGACCGCCCCTCATCATTCCTTCCTGCGTGTTCCTAAAGCGAGCCAGTTTTGGGGGGGCCTCATCTTGCGAACCCCCATTCGGGCCTGTTTTGAAGGTACCTTGGAGGAGCACCGCCAGTTTTGGGGGTTCCCACTCGGTATTTTGACACCCCTTCGCTCTGAATGTCGGGTGTTGCGTGCCAAGGAGAAGGTGCTGAGCGATCCCTCCTCGAGGAGGAAGATGGAGACCATGCTGAGAATGCACGTGCCTGTTCCTAAAAGGGTGCCCTCAAAAAGCACACGCGTGGTCTCCGATATTATTCTGTAGTTCAAGGTTGACCAGAATATGGAGCTAAGTCGGAACATATTATTTTTAGTGTACCCAGGGATCCGGGACCTTGGGGGTTGGGGCAAGTATCCAACTTTTACTTGAACATTCTCCGTTTGTTTTCCCTGCAAACGAGACCGCAGGGTGGTTGCTGCAAAACACATTTTGCAACCAATGCTGCATAGGGTCCAACATGTTTTTTTGTTCAATTAGGAGTGGTTGAAAACACAAGCGATCTTTTGGGAAGCTTGAATTGAGCTTTCCCTTGCAAGTCATGCTTCAAGGGGGATGAATGCAAGGAACCCTGCATCATGAGTGGCAACTTGGTTTTGGTACATGGCTGACGGCTGCGTGGTCGTCATGTTTACCCGTTGGAAACTTGTATGTGCCACTGAAAGTTGTAGGTTTCTCCCTGGAGATATGCCAGGCTTGCCTAAAATCGGCGAGGGAAAAGGAATACCCTGCATGGGCATGTTGTGGTTTTATTGACGTATTGTGAGCCATTTTGAGCGAGGGTCTTTAAAGGGAATCCAACGCCAAGTTGGACAACCCATGTTGAGAGCTGTGGTGGCTATTTGGTTGGATCCGTAGACTTTTTGACGTGTCCCTCCCCACACCCCCTGAGGTATCACAGTACAAGCACGCGAAGCCGACCGCCAGCATTTATCTACGGCCACCTTTCACAGTGCGGTCCATAGTCCAGGTCCCAATGCTGTTCCAGACAGGTAACTGGTGACAGCAGCAACTGGGTGCCGACGCTCTCCTACCTTTCTTCAACTTCTCCTTGATTGGAAGCCAGCAAGAGACAAACGTGTTTTACTTGCCAGACTCCGTACTTCAGACAACAAAACCGGATTGTCTCGCGATCTTTACCCCAAGCTCGGCGGTATTCAAAACAGGATTGCTTTGCTATGAACTCATGAACAGCACTTTTCTATGGGAGCGGCGTACGGCCCGTAGACTGTAAGCATGTTTGTTGCGACGCTGCTTTTGTTTCTGCCTTTCAACAAATCGTCAGATTGATTTCCCGATCTGACTCCCGTCTTGAGTCACAATCAAACGCGGGTAAGTCAAGCTTAGCAAGGGACAGTCCTGAACAGAAAATGGATGCGGCCGCCCTCTGGATTCTTTACACGGGTTTGGGTGGGCTCCAGTGCCAGCGTTTGACTCACTTGACTTGGCGGGTGAATTTCGCTTAAACCCTGGGACCGCCCTTGGAATGCTGACTTTCAGTGAGGAAATGAGCGGGGAGGTGTCCCGTTTACTGTACCACAAGCCAAAAGCAAATAAACATACTTCATTGCTCGACATGAGTATCCTGGGATGAGCAGTTTATTGAGCAATTCATTCATAGGTGGTTGACCTGTTTGGCCAGCCGGCCCGGATTTGTTCGGCTCATTTAGGCGCCCTTCAATCCCAGAGAGGCAGGAACGGCCGGCGAGGGGGGGCCCCCAAAAGTCTGGTCCATACGTGCTTTTGTGGGGTACCCTTGCAACGTTTGGATTAAAGGGAAAACACAAGGAAACCCACCTCATGCTCGACGGGACACACATTTGGGCAAATGTTGAACGAGCCCTGTGATCTGGGGGCCAAGTGAGCGATTTAGTCTAGAATTTCCTGGAATTTCTAGTTTTGGTTTATAGTAATTTGCCCGGAAACATGGAAGCAGAGACACCACATCTGGTGCACTGCTCAAGCTGTCAGGCGAGGTAATGGCCACTCTTTCGTTGGGACCCTTTGCACAGACTGACAAGCCTGCACTAGAAGGGGCTACTCCGCATAGCTTGGAGGTCTATAGAAGGCACTGGCCTGGACATGATCGAAAGGATCCTTCAAATCCTCAGGATGGGGTGCACTCACTACTTTTCCAGCGGGGTGCACTCACCACTTTTCCAGCGTGCACTCACTACTGTTCCAGCGGGGTGCACTCACTGCTTTTCCAGCGGGGTGCACTCACTGCTTTTCCAGCGGGGTGCACTCACTGCTTTTCTTCGAGCGGGGTGCACTCACTGCTTTTCCAACGGGGAGCACTCACTGCTTTTCTTCGAGCGGGGTGCACTCACTACTTTTCCATCGGGGTGCACTCACCACTTTTCCAGCGGGGTGCACTCACTACTTTTCCAGCGGGGTGCACTCACTACTTTTCCAGCGGGGTGCACTCACTACTTTTCCAGCGGGGTGCACTCGCTAATTTTCCAGCTAGGGTACTCGCAGTACATTTCCCATTTCCCTTATGGAACCCAGTAGCTCATTTCTCTTCGGAGGCAAGGACAATTTGGGGTTGGTCGGGGTTGGTTATGAAAGCGAAACAAAAAACCAACCCCGTGGCCCAGCAAAACCTCGGTGCCGTCAGATGGAGCGGGTGCCGACCTCGGACGACAACTGCAGCTACAGCTTCCGGAAGGGCCGCTGCGAGCCCCGGGGCGCATGCGCCGGGACACCCAAACTGCGAGCGACAAAAAGACGCGAGGGGCTTTTTCATCTATGCTTCAGAGCCATGGCAAGGGGAGCCACAACCTGACAGTGACTATTAGTGACCCTTCGGGGGCCGTTTAATCAAGGCTCTGAATCAATAGTGGTCTTTTGCGGGGCTTGTGCAGTGACTGGGATGGGGCGAGTGGATGTTGGTTTTGTTTGACATGTACGCACACACACACACATAGATGCAAACACATCTACGCACATAGTACGCTCGTTCATTTACAAAAACAACAAGCAGAGCAATTAAGACACATAACATATATGTTATACACATTATATACATCCAAGTCTACGAGTACTGTTTGTTTGAGACCCCACAGATTGGTGGAGAGACCTTTCGCCGGTTGAAGGGATGCTTGAGCCGGTAAAGCGGTCTGGCAGACGATTTATTTCACGATTGGGTGCCGATGCCTGCCAAGTTTTCGTTTCTTCTTACCCTGGCTGCAGATGTTTGCAAGGAACTGTTTTGGGACCTCCCAGAATGTCAGAGACACAAAACAAATCGACCCTATGAGACATCAGTATCAGGGGCTAGGTTCGATCATCAATTGGGCCTTGAGTCTTTGGGAACACCCAAGCAATATACACTCCTTCTGAACAGCTTTAAGGCAACCCAACACAAAGCTCCCAGGCCAAGCGGGTCCCCAAACTCAAGAAACAGGTTTCTTTGGGAAGCCCCCAATCCAATGAGTGCTCCCCCGTTTTGGATGGTTAAAACTGGGAGGGACTGTAGATCCGCCAAGCCCCAGGATCATGTGGGATCTCCTCCCTTCCTGAGTTCATGAACTTTAAACTTTTTGGGAGGACCATCTTAGTGGTACAGAAACAGTTTGGACCTTTTCTTGGGCCTTCCACTCAGCCAGTGAGTTTCTGCTTGTCCAAACCGACCCAAAACGGTGATGTACAGCAGGGCTTCCCGTATTTTCCATTCAATTATGAAGACATTATGCCCAATTGCTAATGGGGTAATACTGAAAGGGAAACATAGAGAACGCTGTATGGGCAGCACCGTGTTTGTTGAAGGACGCCGGTGTCAATTTCACCATGAACCTGCAGCACGTCAGATTGTTGCTCAAACAAAACACAATGGAACATCTCACCGGTTTGGGGCCAATGAGACGCAAGAGCCTATGACAGTAGAAAACATGCTTGGGCAGAAGTTGTTTAAACAGTTTGATTACTCATTTTGATGGTTCAAGCCGTTTCAACAATGGGTTGAATTGTTACGCCCAGGCAGACCGACTCTGACTCGGCGGTGTGGCGAGGCCTACAAATTTCGCCTCGGGGATCTCACGCTGGACCAGAGCTGCCGGCTCCGGGTCAAGACCCTGAAGCCCACCAGCGCCCTGGACAGACTTAGAGAGGGTTGTTCCTTGTCCCGAGGAACCAGATGAACTAAAATTTGGGAAGACACAAAAGACAAGTATCTCCAAACATGGAACACACACAGAGCCTCGCCCATATGAAAAGCTTGTGACAGTGTGTGAATCAATGGTTTGACATGGAAATTGCTCTTCTGAACCCCTCATGAACCTGATGAGCCAATTTGGGCAGCTGTTTTGTTTCAATCATCACAATTGGTGAATCCTGGCCCCTTGGGGGTTGACCCTGTGAGAACAGGTGAGCCACCACCAAAACCTGGATGGATACGGGTTTGTAGGGCAACCAGAATCGGTGTGGCAAAACCTCTTTTGATTATTTTTGAGGTTGTGGGTAAACCCCTTCCATACCAAGTTTTTTGTGAGTGGCTTGTTAGACTGCCCAAATGGTACGGTTAACTGGGGATGGCAGGATGGCCCCACCGCACACCTCATGTGTTTTTTGGCGGCAATGAAGCCAGCCCTTGAACAAACCTCGGTTCTGTAGTGGCGTCCTCATTCGTCTTCGGAAATTCTGGATACCAACTCAAGCTGACAGACAATTGCTTGACTTCGTTGTCCCCACCTAGGCATTTGCCTTGCTCAACTGAATTGTTTTGACTGCGCTGCAAAAAGGCTGCTTCTCTTACAAAGGCGCGCAATGCAGGTTTCCTTTCTTGCAAAATTGCAAACAAAAAAGCTGGGATCGATGGTGCAATGCCGCAGTCAAGACGCAACGGGGAGAAATCGCTCCTAGTGAGTGCTAGAAACCTGGAAGTGAGATATGATATAACACTGCTTGGGCGGTCGATTTGCTGACCGGCGAGCCTTCGCAATTGATTGTTCACAGTGTGTGTGGGCTCCTTATGTTGACCGTGCTGAGGGATTCCCAAAGTCAGAAGACACGGGATGACCTTCTGAAACCGAACTACCACTAAAAGGGTCACAAATGACAGCGGTCAAACACATGGCACCATGATGTTGTTTTTTGTTCTTTGCGAATTGGGCGGAACATGCTTCAGGTGACGGGGAGTGCTTGTGGGACTTCAAAGAGGCACGGCAAGCCTTGCTTGGGATGTGCGTGGCCGTGCGATAGCCTCATTAAAACACCCATAATGTAGATACACATAGACATACACACACACACATGTTGTTTGACTACACATTTCACCTTGGTTAAAGGGACAACCGTATAATTTTTGAGTATCCCCACTTTGGCACACACACATAGCAATATGTTCCTTCGTTTGTGGTTTTAAATGCATAAACATGTGTGTCTTTGTTCGTGGCCTTGGTGCCAGGGAAGCAATCAATTGAACATCACATAGGCCAATTTCCAAGCATAGCGGGGAAAACTTGTAAACTACGGAAAAGGGAGGGAAGGGAAGGAACCCTGCCTGAAACCAAGCCGAAGCCACCCTAAGCAAGGCAATGCTTACATTGAGCAGGTAATCCCTTGGGAGGTTTCTGGAATGAACCATGGCCTCAACTACCAGCGTACCTAGAAGTTGGGAAGATCTGAGGTTCTCCTACCTCTTTTTTAAAGGGGGGCACCTGGGAATTCCCTGAGCACGCCCTTAGGATCTTGCGTTGTGTAACTTGGCATTGTGTCTTAAATCGATTGATGCCCGCCACAACTCTTGAAGCACTCTTGCGGGCAAAAACTTGAGCGTTACCCCGATGCTTCCGAGCCCAGCCGAGAGATAGGTCAGGCTGGCATGGCACATGTGTCTTTCAAAACGGAGGCTGTGCTCCTCAGTCCAAATTTCCCGCACCTGCAGCCACCTGCCCCACATGTCCGGACGAGTTATAACGAGTTCATCTGGGGGTGAAAGTGAGTTATCCATGATGAAGTTCCTTTTTTGGGGATTCTTTGTTTCCTGTTTGGAAATTCCAAGTATTCTATCCATACATATATATATATATATATATATTATTGGTAGGTACATCATGGATACATGATTGTAAACGCTTCGCGTTGCCTGCCTCGGCCAGAGCCGCAGAGAGCTAGGTGCAAATTTCCAGGGAATTTGAGTGGCTTCTGGGGGGAAAGTTTGCTGGTTTGTGGGGGGATTTGACAGGAGTTGGAGCTGTTTTTAGAGGGATTTGACCTGGTTTCTACGGTTTTTAGGGGGGATTTGATTGGTTTCTGAAGGGGAATTTGACCGGGATTTGACCACGAGCTCCTCTGATTTTTAACGAATAATTCACCTGTAAAAAGGCCGCAACATGCGTCCACTGGTTCGAATTGTGGTGCAGAAGTGGGTTCCCATCTGCCTGGCCTCGCAATGGGGATCAACGGCTTTGTCACAGAAAGGGTCAACCCACAGAGGGCGATTGAAGCTGGTGGTCTTCCAAGACCCTTCTGTTGCATGATTGTTGGAAAGAAGGTGGTCAAGCCGGCTTCGGATCTCAGGCGCGGTGTCGGCACCCCATGTACTGCTCCCGGCAGTGCAAGCTTTTGAAGGACCTCACCCTGGACCAGCTGGGCACCCCAGAACATACACGCGGATGCATGGTGGAAAACAACAAACCGGCAACCTCAGATTTATTAATTCAAGGAAGCATCCTACAACCCGATGGTTGTGGCAAATTGGACATTTGAGATTGCGACTTTCTGTGAAAACCCCAACGTGTTTTTTAGTAATCAAGATGTATGTGGCCCACATTGGTCACAGAAAAGGTGTTTGAGCGACAACCCAGCCATGAGCGGATGTGACGCAAAAGCGACCGATCGATTTGACATGACGAAGGTTGTTTTCTTTGGGTGGTTTCTCATTCTTTGGGGTGATGAATGAATCATTGTAATGATTCATTCACCCAGATGCATGCAGCACAACAAACGTGAACGCAAAGGTGCATTTCTGCTCATAACATGCTTGGTGTCCATCCCGACCAAAGGTCCACAAACGGCTTGGAGGTGTCTGGGGGCAACAAACTTAGTCATTACAAACCCCCGGAAATTCAGCCGTTCATGCCCATTGCAAGATCGCCTTCCTGCTGGCTTCCAAACAGTAGTGGAGGGTCGTGGCCAACGTATGGGTAAAAAGCGAGCTCCGTGTTTTGGGCAAGTTCACTTTGGATAGAACACACAAAAAAACAACATCTTTTCATCAGAGAAACGAGTCGGTCGTGTGTTGGCCACGAGTTTGTGGAACTTGGTCCATGCCTACAGCCCCGACCCCGTTTGTAATTTTAAATGAAGCATGCAAGTGCAAATTCAAGCTCTGGCTCCAATAGCTGGTCCCATGTGTTTCATCTTTCCCCGTTCACCGTAGACTCCCCCTACAAGGAAGCCCCGTTATTTTCCTTAAAAGGAGGTCAAATGTACCTTCCGGTCCCAAACTCAGCCAAAGGTATGTTGCCATTTCAGAGAACCCGCGTTCGTGGCATCGAATGTCAGCTGGTTTCACGCACGGCTGGTGTGTGTGTGTGTGTGAGACGCGCCTTCTCCTTTGGAGAGTTTCAAGGGGATGCCCTCGGGCAAGCCTGCCATTTCGGGTTCGACTGGTCTTGACGCAGTCAATTGTCCACAGCCATTGCCATTGCCCACAGTTTCTGTTTTGGATCTCATTCTCTGTCGGGCCGACCTGGATTAACAGACCTGATGCATTGGGGCAAGTTCCTCTTTAAGGTCCCATTTGAGAGGAAGTCCTTATAATAGTCAACCAGATTGTTGTGAATCCTGGGTTCCCATGTGTTCCAGAATTCAGGGGTCCCATTTTGGACGATGCTAGGGAAATCCTCCGGGACCCTCAAAGCGCCCTTGTTTTTTTCATGGCCACCAGTGAGGGTGGGGGCTGGGGCCGCAACGAAGGGTTTTTTGCTCCAAGGTGCTGCAAATTGAGGCCGGATCAGAGATGTGGGTCTGGGCAAACTATTGGGGGGTGCGACGGCCCATGATACGACTCCTTTCATAGGGTTCATTTCATAAGGTCCCTGATTTTCCGTCTACCGTTAGAATGATTTGCCCAGATAGGTGTTTTTTGAGGGTACCCTTTTTTGAAGGGAAACCCAAAGCAAAACTACGTATTATTTTTTTGGGGGGGCGGAGGAGGTCCACTATTTTTAAACATGTGGGCAGGGTAGCCCGGTTATAGCCCTGTTAGCAAACTTACTAAGCACCTAAGTACCCTGCCCCAAGTCCCCTGCCCTTTCCAGTGTAGGTAGCTTGGAACCATTGGACCCAGCAATGGTGGGTTTCCGTTTGGTTTGCCTTGGGGACCTTTTTGGGCTTCGTGTTGGGTCTGACGGGGGGTCGAGTGCAACACTGGGTCCCTAAGTTTTTGGGCGACCAACTCATACTAGCCGAGAGGGGCGCCGAGCCCCGAAATTGAAAGTATTTGAGACTTCCATTTGACCTTCAACCATTTTGCAAAGCATACTCAAGCAACACATGTACATGTGGGTGTGTCTTTTTGTGGTGGCTTAAACTGATCAAAATTGGGGGTTCCCCGCTGTGTAGACACACCCATGTAGTTATGCGCTCAAATTGCAATTTTACTTGGCTGATGATGTTTGATTTGCGTTCGTCTCAAAATAGGGGAACCACCAATATGGGTGATGTTCCTCTGTTTCAAGAGGAATTCCCACCACCCGTAGGCCGCAACATGCCCATCTGGGCTTTCATGAGGATTTTTGTTGGTTATCAGGTACGCTGAAAAGGATCTCCTTGCTGGAAGTTGTCAGGTAGTTTCAAGGGAGGTTCATACCGCGGTCGGTATGCCCCAGGGAAATTAGACCGAAAGAAGGTAGTACACCCCAGCCTTTGTCAGACTCCTTACCCGGCTCTTAGAAGAGGCTTACAAACGGGTGGTGCCCTGATCTCCAGGCACTTCTGCAAAATTCACAGGGACCCCTGGAAAAGGTCCGATCATTTACAGGGGGAGGGCCCACGCAGGGTGTCAGCTCACCAGCACCCCTCGGAGCTTGGATCTGGTTCAACCCTTCGCCCGGGCGATTTTAACCCCAAATGGTCACCATTGGTTGTCTCAAGTAGCACCTGCAGGCCATTTTTGACGGAGGTTTTGCGAGCTGGGGGGAAACCCAGCTTGTTATGCGGTTCCTTTACTAGTTGTGCCGCGAGGGTTTGTGGCAGCGGAATCTGACCAGGCGCCTGTGAACAAGGTTTCCATTGCACGGTTGAAACTTGATGCCTTGGCATGTTTGCACATTGTGGGGATATCATTTAATTTAAGTCTAATCAAACCACGACCTCCAAGGTTGCGTAACAGCCTCACAACTTTTGGTGGACATACGCCCCAATCTAAATCCACCAGCCGCGCTCCTTGCAACAACGCGGAGGCCTGTAGACGACATGTGGGGAGCTCAGAGAGTACACAAAGCCGTAAACTGGCATGAGCTCTGGAGGTATCGAACATCGTTACTAAAAGTGTGTGTTTGTGTGTTTAATGACATTTCTATGTATATGCGTGTAGTTGCATAGTACGATATACACATGTATACTTATGTTACGTACATATGCCGACACACACACACATATATCTATACATGTGAGGGGTTGAAAGGGATGTCAAGGAAACAACCAGTTTGTTTGGGCTTTTATGTTGGGGGGAGCTTTGTGGGATATTTACATCTTGCCTCCATGGTTTTTGACGGGCACATCCTTCACTCTGCCATGCAGCCACTCGCAATGACGCGTAGCCTGTTGTCCATTGAAGTGACATGTTCAACATTAATCTCTGAATGGTTGCTTAAAGGGAGACAACCGGGAAACAAAACAACTGATTTGGGTGTGATTTTCAACGGGGGACCTTTGGTGGACATCATTTAGGCTTCTTTTGAGGCTGAACATGTTCATTGCTGACAGCTATTGGCAATGGCTCAGAGCATCACAGTCAAAGCTTAGATTTGCTTGGATATGGTTTTCAAAGCCAACTGGGGTATCAGATGTTGCGCCTTCTCTTCCCCTTTCCTTCAGGTGATTTCTGTACTGGAAATGGTCATGACGGATGATCATGTTGCCCTTTGCAGGAAAAAGCAGTCGTTTGTATTTCTACCCCTGTGCCGATTCCTGATCGGCTCGAAGGGGAGCAATCCAAGGACGACTAAACGGCGGGAGTCGCCCTCAGGCGCCGGTTGGGCCCAATGGCTTAGCGGAAATCTGGATTTTCCGGGTCCGACTCGACATTTTTCGCATCGAACCAAGTTTTTGTTGAGGGCCCTCGGAAGGGGTCGGGGTTCTCCGAGGGCCTTGGATTGCGCAGTGGAGGGGTCATGACTCCAGATTAGGGGTGGATGCTTTGTGCAATCCCCCCCAAACTCATGTGGCTATGTTTTTAAGAGTTAGAATTGCCTCAAAAGTGTTTGGTGGACTGAATCACATAAATGATGTCCGCCAAAAGCCCCCTAAGCAAAATTCAAGCTCTTGTATGGAAGGGTGGGTGGGTGCACCTGGCTTGAATGTCTCGGAATTGTAGATTTTGTGAATTTTGTGGGTTCCAGAGAAAGGCACGGGCAAAAGGACTTGCCAGCCCAACCAACAACCAGTTGCAAATACTAAACAGGAGACCAGCAGCCTATGAAAGACTTCGCCCCCTGGGTCCAAGCAAATGCAGGGGGCCAACCGACAAAGGCATGTTCCCAAAACAAGGAACCCTAAACATGACAGGGTTCCTTTCGTCTTCCCTTGAAGCAGCAACAGAGTCTTAGCGCTGACGTTTTGGAAGATGCCGGCTCAACAACCCGCCGCAGAGCCTTTAAGAAACTGTAAGGAAGAATATGTGCAGAACAGTTTGCCAACCCATGCTTACAGCAGCCAACTCCAGAAGTCAAACATGTTGTTGACAGGTAGACATTTGTCATGAACAATTACCACCATGACATTGGCTCAAGAAAATAATTGCTGACCGCGCCTTGCTGATTGTAGGTAGATCTGACCTGTCAATAGGAAAACAGCCGTATCGCTGGAACCTTGTACAGCAATTACGTCAACTTCCCCCAATCAGGACCCCAATGACGATGGTGATAAACCAGGGGGAAACGGCAAAGGAAAGGGTAGTGGGTGTTTTGGCCAGAGCGGAGGCGATGGGGAACCACCCGCCGATGATTCAGGTGATGACGATGATGAGGAGGACGATGATGATGATGACAAAAAGAAGAGCAAAAAGGACAAAAAGGACAAGAAGAAGAAGAAGAAGAAGAAGAAGAAGAAGAAGAGTCACAAGAAACAACAGGGCGACTCTCCTTCTGATTCACCAAGCTCTTCATCCTCCAGCTCTTCAAAATCCCCGTCGTCCACGTCATCAAGTGACAGCAGCCGCACAGTCCGTGAGAAGCTTAACAAGCTGTCGGGCAAGGGAGCGTCAAGTGTGATTGCTGACCTTCATAAACCCAAGGTGAAAGAGGCTGGAAGGATTGTGATTCCTGCGTTTTCTCTACCTGAGAACTGCAAGAATTGGCGCATCAGCCTCAGATAGGGCAGATGACGCGTTCAAATGGGGAAGCAGGACCTGGGAGGCATCTGTCACTAGTGAAGAACTCGCGGATCCCGGTTGATCTCCGCATTGACCAACATCATTTAGGGTGATCTCGCAAGGCAACTTGACACTTTCAAAGAGGTTGAAGCCCAGAAAGGAAGCCCTGTTCGAGGCAGACAGGTTCTGCTTATGGTCCATGACTTAGCGGAGCTTAAGAGGGGTCTTTTTTTCCATGGCCCCAAGGACACACGCAATGCTCCACATTGGCTTTTTAAGAGGGTGTTGAAAGTTCAGCTATATTCCGTGCAAGGATCTCAGACTTCAATGGTGGGACCTCAGGTCCACGGAAGACTTATGAAAACAAAAGCCAGTCTTAGACTGAGAGCATTGAATCAGCACACGCCTATAATTTGCATTATTATGCGGTCTGCCTTGTTTTTGCAAAACACTCCTGGACACATGCCGTACTCGGCGCCTGGCTTGCCGGGCGCTGATTGGAAGAAGTTGCTTGCCGGGATCCGGCGCCTGGCTTGCCGGGACCTGGTGCCCTAAAAGAACTTGCTTGCCGGGACCCGGCGCCTGGCCCGCCTAGCTTGCCGGGACCCGGCGGATGCCGGGACCCGGTGCCCTGAAGAAATTGGTTGCCGGGACCGCTCCTAGCTTGCCGGGACCGGCGCCCCGGAAGAACTTGGCTGCCGGGACCCGGCGCCTGCTTGCCGGGACCCGGCGCCCAGGTTGCCGGGACACGGCCACGAACAAGGCGAAGTTCATCGGGAAACTCCAGAAGTCAAACCTGCAGCAAACCAACATAATCCAGTTGTTCAATGGCATCATTGTCCGGTTGCCGCCGGCAAAAAAGGTTGACCATCCAACAAGGGTTCCCTTTTGCCACCATCTTGGCCGCGTGTTGCAACTGCGACAAGTGTCCAAGTAGAAGATGGTGTGCCACCCAAGCTGAGCCCAGGGCCAGACGGCTTCCACTTGGGTGGATCTCTTAAATGGGAGGATGTGCGGCCGCCTTTCTTTGCATGGCTTGGGTAGGCCCTTCTAGTAGCCGGTACTGATTTTGACTCATTGGAGTCCGCTCGAAAAAGGCAACTCTAGCTATTCGACAGGACAGCGCGCCACAGAATCAAATCTAACCCTTCGGTGGATGACAACTCACAAACTCGGGTCGTTCACGTTTCTGACGACAGAAAACTGCAAGCAAATCAAACCCACCCCCAAGAACGAACATCTGCAGCACGCCAGAAGAACTCAATAAGCAAATCAATACACTAGTCAAGATGGGGCTAGACTTGAACCCGGCAGCCACTCAAAATGAAGAATGCGCCAACCACCACCTCACAGGCCCGCTTGGTCAAAGTCTGTTGCGTAACAGCTTGGAATGCGTGCAGAGCACTGAGCACTCACGCCATGCCTATACAAAGTACCGCTACGTCCTAAACACAAACTTGCAGCAGGCTGATGCGAGCTCCGAACTGCACTTTGTTTTGGGGTTGGGCCCACCGACTCTTGGGCGCCAACGGCCCGCCACGTAGCATTTAAGTTCGACTTGCGAAGCACGGCTCCTGAACATGTTGAACTTGCTCCAATAGGTTCACCCTCCTGAGCGACTTTGGCCTCTTGGAAATGTTCAAACGTCTTCCGAAAGGTTGACCCGCCTGAGCAGCGAGCTGCAACTACTTGAGAAATCTTAATTTTTATCCACTAGGTTGACTCACCTGGGCAAAGTCGTGTTGCTAGGAAGAGTACGTCGCTGTGATAAGCTTGCACACGTATGTGTTTCCGTCCGTTCTTGCACTTGCCATTGAGATACTTGGTTTTTTGTGGCGGGTGGGGGTGGGGGGGGGGAATGAGGGACCAAGCCTTTGGTTCTGAATGGCAATGCTTCTTCTAATCCTCAAGAGACACCCAACGGAAGTGATGCCAGGTACAGAAGAGGAGGACGACGACATTGGCTTGGTGGCCGACGAGGAGACGGGTTGGTGGCACTCGTGCAAGGCAACGGTAAAAGTCAGAAGAGGCTGAACAAATACACAGTATTATTTTATGTTCATGGTTTGGTTGAAAACCCACCACAGCCCCATTCCAATCTAGCAAAGCAGACAATTATTCCACATGGCTTGAACATGGGCTGTGGGTCATAGGCCAAAATAGATTGACATTGCGAAGGATGCGCTGGACATCGATACGATCCTTGATGCGCCTGGGCCAGACTAGCTGCCCATGCGACGACGACGTTGGGTCAAGGTTTGCTCTCAATGTGAAGGTCTGCAGGTTTTGTTCAATGGCAACGTTTTTTTGAGGGCCCATTTGTTGGCAACACAACATGTCACCATCCTTGAACCGGAGCTCTGCTTTCGACCCAGTTTGCGATGTTGAATATACGACTGGCTTCCCAAGTCTCCGAACTCAGTTGGAGTCCTTTAAAGAGACCTGAAAAGGGGGCAACAGTACCCTTGGATTCAGTCAAAGGGAAGGTTGGCGAAAAACCAGCCCTGGACAAAGACTCACCGAGCCCTCGCTAAGTTGGCGCAGTGCTCGCAGAAAGAAAACAGCTCTCCGTGTAAGTAAGCGACTGACCTATGGAATGGTGGAACTGCCAAACCTCACTTCCGTTCGGGTGGATTGGCAATTGGCCATCAGGGCCCTGCACCGAGGACTTTGATGGCATCGATTGGGAGGGCGAGGAGGATCCAGAGGGGACGCAGGCTCTCAGTCGCTCGGCTCAACTCGGGAATCAACCCAAAACTCCTGCCAAGCGCCCAAAGCCCCGATTCCTCTTGGCATTTTGAGGATAGGTTCCTACCTGGTCTTATGGTGGTTATAGTAAGGCCGCTAGTGAGGCCTAAATAGTCTTGGTAGGGAACTGCGTCAGATGTACCTCGCCAAAGCAGGGAGAGTCTCTAGTTGAACCACCCACTCTAGCCAAAGCCAAAACTTACTCCCATAAAACGACGTCTTGTGGAATCCTGTCATTGTTCGGGTTGTGCATGCACGCGTTTGTATGGGTGTGTATATATATATATATATACACACGCGATTGATCCCTTCAATATTGCAGGCAACCCAACCGCAGTCCCGCGTGCAAGGTGTATGGAATAAATGAGGGTAGCCAGCAAATTGGATGAACCTGGCTGGTTGGATGGATTGCTCGATTTCTCAACTGCGAGGAGGCGGATTGAGGAGACCTTCGAATCCCACCTAACATTCCCATCCAATTGAGCCTTAAACAAGCCAGCTGCTCTTGGCTTGGCGTTTTTTCCTTCAATAATCCAAGCTGGGGTTGGCTCAAAATAGGGGAACCCCCAAAATGATTGGTGGTTGCCATCCGAGAAAAGACGCCCTTCTGTTTTTGGAGCATATGTTTTGTTCCGCCCAGGTTTGGTGGGTTTTGGCTTCGAGACCACCTTTTGGATCGTGTTTATCGGGGGTTCTCTTGAACAGAGACTCTGACTGCTCGTTTGAGCCTCTTCACTGAGTGCAAGTAGAAGGAAGCGATTCTGGCTCCCACGGAGGTGCCTTGCTGGACCCCTGAAAAACCGGCTTTCTGATATTCATTAAACAAGCAAACACATTGCCAGCGCTGGCATTGGTTTAAGCTCGGAGGATGTCACCGTCAGTCCCAGGCGGGCAGCTGCGATTATGTAGTGGTGCACAGTGGACCATGACTCTTCTCTACAACTGAGCGTGAGTTTGACACAAGAAGACAATCTCCAGAAGACTAAATGTGGACGGGCGCATTGCAATGTAGAATTGGGCTCTAGGGTATTGCTTTCCTAAACTACGGCACGATCATTGGAGAAAGATGTTTTATTCTGTGTGCCTTTATATGGATCTGATTTTTAATAGCGAACCCTTTGGGGACGGGGATGTAAGTCCGCCAAGCACTTTGAAGGTCCCCCCATCCACGGAAGTGAGGGCCGTATTCCTATGCGCAACTCAGGTGATGACGAGGAGACCTCAGAAAGCAACGCGGGTGAAGAGGCTCGAAGGGATTGTTCTGTTGGGGTGTTTTGCTGTTGTCAATGTTCTTTCTGTAGAGGGTCCATTGGCAACATGGAGAGACATGCAGCCACAGCGGCTACGGTGGCAGTAGCACTGGTAGCTGGTGGAACTTGTGGATTGGTGGTCGTACTGTTGTACTCATATTAGAAGTGGTTGCGAAAGGTAGTGATGCCAGTTGATGTATACAGTCGAATTATTAGCAGTAGTAGACGTGTTAATATATGAAGAGGTAGTAGTAAAGAGTAATACGTAGTAGCAAGTAGTATGTAGTATAGTATATTAGATATTAGTAGTTAGTGGGTAGCAATAAATAGTAGGTAGTGAGTAGAAAGTAATTTCAGAAAGTACTAAGTAGCATGCAGAAACAGGCAAGTTGGCAGGAGGAGGAGTAGCAGCAGCAGCAGTAACACAAGTAGTGGAGGCGGAAGTGGCAATGGCAGTGGCAGGGCTTTTGGTGGTGGCGGCGGTGGTGGTGTGGTGGTGGCGGTGGTGGTGGTAGCAGCAGCAGTTGCGGTGGCGGTGGCGGCGGCAGTATCAGTAGAAGTATCAGAAGCTTCTAGCAGGAGTGACTCCCAACCAGAAGTAGGCGCAGAAATCCGCAAACTCTTTTTACAGGTTTGGGTAGGCCGTTTTCATACCAGGTTTTGATTATGGCTCATATAATTCGGGCATCCCTGAACTCACTTTGAAGGAATCCCTTCCATTTCGAGCCACGTTTGGGGGCAGTTGGGGTGACTCGAGGACGTGGCGGAGGGCAACTGCCAGAGCAGCAGTGACAGGGCCGTGATGCTGAGACCGGACACCAAGGCCAAGTTGGCGCCTTGGCTTGGAGATCCGACCGCCCAAAATTTCAAGATAAACTGCCCTGTCCACTAAGAACACGGTCACTTTCAGGGGAAACGCGTCTTTCAGACCCCCCCCCAATCAGTCAGGTTGCATGTTAGACGCAGGGTAGTGTTGATCCAATCAACCTGCCAAATTAGGCAGTTTGTCATTTGGGTTACTTACCCCAGAGACTTGGGTTTGCAGTGGGGGGGTCACTGGGCAGTGTCTTCCGGCGCCTTAGTCCGAGTAGACACATTGGACTTGGCCCGGGTTAGGAGATCCAGGGCAATGGGTTTGGGAAGCCAAGTCAGCGACTGGAGGGCTGATTCATGGCCGCTCAGCATTCAGAATTGGGGCGATCCAACACGAGGCCTGTCAAGGAAACTGTTATTTTTGTGCATCACTTTCAGGGGATCCCCAAAATGACCGTGATTTTGACATCTCCCATTCGGCCTTTTCATGGCAGATGCTTTTTTTTGGTTAGGCAGTTATTGACACGATACCCAAAAATATTTGGATGTTCGGACTACTGTGTACAGTATCCTCCCCATCTTCGCAGGTCGATGGATTCATTGAAGGATGTTCCCACAATTGTTGCCTTTCCTTTTTGCGCCATTCCAACTCATCAAAGAAGGCTTCTTTTACTTGCACAAATTACAACGAGCTCACCGATTCAGCAGTAACACAAGCTCACCAACGATGACGGTACTTCTTGGGCACTCCCTATATCTTATATCCGTTTGAAAGGGGGGGGTACAGTAGTTGCGCCCAGGTTTATGGATTCAGAAGGGCCCGCCATGGGGCCTGCGTTTGTGAAATAACTGAAAAACTCAGAACAGCATGCATTAGTACGCCATTCTCATGTACTGTGGAAAAGGACATGTGACCCAAACCTCGAGGAAACCAACAAAAACACAAAGACCTCGAGAAAACAAAGAAGAAAGACACGAAACAAAAACAATCCCCTGCGAGAAATGACCAGTACCTCCAAGTTGTTGTTGTTTTTTTGGGGGGGGTTCTCGAGGTGTTGCACTTCCCGTATTGTCCCCTCAATGTTTTCCGAGTATTTCTTGCGTGTTCTCTCAGTATTCCAATATATAATATAGCATTCCCTTACTATTCTCTGAGAATTCCCCAAAACTTCCTCATTGTTCCTTTAGTATTCCCCCATTCTTGCCATAGTCCTTGAGTATTCTCTTGCCCCTAGTGTTCTCTCAGCACTCCCCAGTATTCCTTTAATATTCCTCAATATTCCCCTAGTATGTTCCTAACATTCACAATACTTCCCTAGTATTCCCTTAATATTCCCCCAGAATTCCCTTAGTATTCTCTATTCCTTCAGCATTCTCTTACCCCTAGTAGTTGTATTCTCTTGGTATTCCCCTAATTTTGTCCTAGTATTCCTTAGTATTTTCTTGGAATACACCTAGCATCCTCCCAATATTCCCCCAGTAAACCTAGAATTCCTTGTATTTTCTTGGTTTATTCGTAGTTTTCTCTCCCAGTATTCTCCTAGCTTTCTCCTAGCATTTCCTCTTGTTATTCCCCAGGTATTCCCTTATTATCCCCTCGGTGTTTCCCTAGTTCTTTGCTACTCAGAAACTGGAGCGCAGATGCAGGATACCAGGGGAAGTACAAAGGGGAATGCTGGAGAATAGTAGGGGAATATTTTGAGAATACTAGGGGCACGCCAAGAAAATACTAAGGAATACTGAACCCTAGTATTCTCGTGGTACTCCGCAAATATTCCCTTCATATTGCCTCATAATCTTCTTTGTATTCCTGGTATTCTCTTGGTACACCCCTAATTTTCTCTCAGTCTTCAAGAGTTCCCCCAATATTCCTTCAATATTCCCCCTAGCAGCTTCTTAGTAATTCCCTAGCAGACCCCTTCCCCTCAATATTCCTCTACTATTCCTCTAGCGTTCTCTTGGTGTACCCTCTAGTATTTCCTCAGTGTTTTCCCCTTAACATTCCCCAAGTAGTCTGTATTCTCCCAGCATGTTCATAGTATTCACTAGCGTGCATTCCCCTTACTATTCCTCGAATAGTCCCCTATTCCAATAGAATTCTCTTACCCCTAGAGTTGTATTCCCCTAGTATTCCCCTAATAGTCCCCTATTTCTTTACCATTCCCTTACCCTAATATTGGAATAATAAGGGGAATACTAGGGGTATATTAAGGGAAGCACAAAGGGTGAATACTCGAAAAATAACAGGGGAGTACTGAAAACAACTTGGGAATAGTTACTAGGGGAACACTGAGGGGACACTAGAGGGTATAGCAACAGATAACTAAAGGAACTTTCTGAGAATACCCGGGACTACTAGGGGAACATAGGAAATTATTGGGGACATTAGGGGAATACTGAGCAAATATTGGGAGTATACTAAGAAAATACCAAAGGCACACAGGGGTAATGCTAGGGACATAATTACTAGGAGGTTACGGCAGCTAGGGGGACACTAAGGAAATAGCAAGGGGAATCCGCGGAGAACACTGATTGCCAGAAAGCGGGGGAGTGGGTGGCCTGCTCCAAAAACACCACCCAATCGAATCTCGCCGGAATTTTGGAAGTTGTGCCAGTTGGGGAATTGGTGATAGGGCTGCAAGACAACTATGACACAATATGTGCCTATGTTTTCTTCTTGTCCTTTTTTCTTTAGGATTCTTTAGGCACTTATAGTACACACATTCCCCTCCCACGGTGATGAGTTGATTTTGTGCAGCACCTCAGAAAGCAATCATTCTTGATCAGCGGTTTACATACCCTTTCCAAGATGTTCAAAGCGACTACCTCTTGTCAAGAAGACCTTATTTTTAGGCGTCCACCCCATTTGAAGACACCCCGAACCAATTTGAGAAAGCCAAGAGGTCCAGTCAAAAGCACACATGGCAGGAAAAGATCGGGCGCAAGAGCTACAGCGTCATTTACGGGCTAGACCGTGAGGGGTCCCACAAGTTCCGCGGCACGCATTTGGAACGCGACACGGACCATACACACACACACATCTCTTTGAAGGCGGATTCCCCCTTCTACCGTTCTTTTCAGAAACCACTCAAATCCCTTGGTTGGCTGTTTGTTGAAAAGAAGGATACCTGGAAGCAATGGGGGAAGGCTTTTGTTTGAGAAGCATCAAGGCGGCAGCCCCTTCCATTTGAGGCCCAGGGTCGGTTGCAACATTTGTTGAGCCAACTAGACCCAGACCTAAAATATTGGTTTTCTTCCAGGGAGTCCAGGGTTGGTTGCAACATTTCTAGGTTCTGGCCGAGCGAAAGCAAAAGCAGGTGGGTTCAGTAGTGTTGGCTGCAAGGCGTTGGCCCGATTTGCGGGGTAGGATGAACAGCTTATGAGCTCCGCCCCCGTGCATGGGAAAGCACCCATCATGGTTTCCAGCTTTGGGTGGTTCTGAATTTCACTGTTGGGGGATGCATTTCCTCTTCTTTCCATTGAAAGAATAATTTTGAGCTTGTCACTTCAACATGTGCAGTTGTTCGCCACGACCAAGTCAGGGGGAAAGGGTGCCCGAAGGGCCCGCCGATCGGCCGAACATGGATGTCATTACTACAAAACCTCGACCACTTCTCTCACCCCAGTTTCTAGGCTTGAGGTTTTTGAGACAATTTGTTGGGTGTGGTGATGTTTCCTTTGAAAAGGTTGGGAACAACAGGGAACCTGTTCAACCTGAAGGGGCTCGATTCTCAGCACAAATTCACAAGAGGGTCTTTTCAGTTCATGGCCCATGGGCTTGGTTTCTTTTAGAGTTCGCTTTGTTTGGGGATCCCAAGAACTCCCTCAACTCACGGGTCAATCTGGTCCATCCATGTCGAGCTCACCTGGGGGTGAAACGAGCTCCATGATGTAGGTCTCTTACTTGGGGATCAAGTTGTTATTTCAGGTTTTGCGGATCCATTATTTCAGGTTTAGCATCATTGCAGAATTTGCAGATCCGGGGCATGTTTGTTCTGATTGGGCTGTTAGGCAGTCGGCCCGCACGCGGATTGAGGAAGCACATGGAGTACGGTTACTCCGAGCTGTGCCCGGGCCCCGTTCTTGTTTTTCATCGGTCTTGTTTTTTGCTTTTTGACAGTTGCATGTTTGTGTGTTCTAGTATGTGTTCGGCTCTTCTCCTTTTTTCCGGGATGGGTTCAGCTTACCCCCCGTCCCCCCCCCCCCCCCAACAAACAAGAAAAACAGTGGGCCTGGTAGTTCAATCACTTTGGACCGAGCTGCATGTTGGAAGGAGACATTTCAGGAATCCAGTCAAAACTGCCCACTGGCAGTCTAGGTTTGTCACTGGGGAGCGGACCGGTCGGTCGGACATGTGAATACTTCAAGTCGAATTATAGTTTATCCACACGCATGTAATGCACGTACGGATCAGGCGGCCTCGGGCACACCAATGAATCTCAGTTGTGTAATCAATTACGCTTCACAAGCGTTTCTTGGTTGAGGGTCCCTTAATACGCCTGGTGGAGAGGTCCGGGGAAAGCGCACGCATCGGTTTAGAGTTGGCTTATTCAGTTTTTGCATTGGGGACGATCTTGAAAAAAAAGGGGACCCTTATTGTTAGCGGGTGAAGATTACCATGCTTTCATTGAGACCCCCATTGGCACCTGGGTTGGCAAAAACCGCCTGGATTCCGGCACGCATCCAACCTTTGAGGTTCTCGTGTGAAAAGGGACCCGCCCAACAGCAATTCCCCAAAACCCCCACACCCTCCAACAAACTTGTGCTGGGCAACGTAATCCCCACATAGCAGCCGATCGGGCCGCAAGTCTTGACCAACGAAGGAGCTTCGATGGCAACGCTTGTCCGCCAGCCTGGGATTCAAAGCCATCATCCTTGGATGCGACAGCAGCTGTCAGAGAACAGGAATCAGGCGTTTCCAGCTTGTATGGCCCCCATGGACCACTTCATGAAATGGAATCCTCTGGTGGTGGGCCGACGCATCCCCAACAATCTCCATCCCACAACTTACAATTGTTCAAATGCAAGAACCCAGGCACCGAGTCCGTAGGGCGTCCTCGGGGATGGTTGTAGGCCTTCCGGAGGGTCTTTTTTCAGGCTCCATGTTTTTGCCACTGGGAGGCATGGCTCATTTGTGAACCTGTCCAAACTAGGGACCCCCAACCGGTTCCAACCTTTTGACACCTGTCAGCGGGCCGACGAGTATCGACAAACGTGATCATGTCACAGCAGTGGTGAGGCTCTTACGGCGGCCCTTCATATGTGCCATGGTCAAAGACTTGCAGTCGCCAGTCACTTCGACAAAATGTTGAGTAGACTCACTGAACACCATATTTTGATTATGACCCAGTTGGTCTTCAAGCGAAGGACGGCTAGTCATCTCATATGGGACTTCGCCTTTGGAAAGACGAGCTTCATTTGGGTTTCATTTGGATTGTGGATATTTTGAAACTTTGTCCTTTTTCATCAGCAAAACAATCCAGGCCCACCATAGACCTGGTGCTTCGGAGCGAGACTCAGGCATTTAGAGTTTGTCTTCTTGGCCACTTTCGATACAAAGGGATTGTGATTAGGGGATAAGCTCCCATTATTTCCATTGTGGGAAATTTTCGGTTGGAAGGCCGCTTGTGATACCAAGACACTCTCCTCGGTTTCCAGCGATCAACTTGGGAATGTGATTTCCCACGCCCTCAACTATGTGATTTCCCATGACGCCCGCGTGGGCATCCATCGGGTTAGGCGCGAGCTGCATGGTGGACGTCTCGGATTGCGGGCTCAAGAACTGCTTCAAGCTGCTCGCCACCAGGGGTCAGCTGCTCAGATCGAAGCTTCGGGCCTGGAAGTCTGGAAGCCGCTCCTAAAGGCACGGGTCCGGGGTCCGGGGTGCGCGGTTTGATACACAATTACTGGTGGTCTATCGTAATTGTGTTTGGGGCTCATTTGGGCAAATGATAGCGTGTTCCAGACCTTCCCTCAAAAACGTGACCCCCAGTCTGCTTGGAGGATTAAGCGAGCCAACGAAGCACTTACAAGAATAGTGGGTACTGATTTTATCCCCTTTTGGTGCTTTCAGCATTGCCGTTTGGTTGCCACAAGTAGAAAGTTTGGCCGATGTTTAGAGCGGACGATAAGGAAGCCAGTAACATGCCGGGTTGGTGGCAAAATTGGCTTGAGCCAGCCGGGCCATGCACATTTTTTTCGAGGGGCTGTTTGATTGCAGCAGCCCGAAAAGCGTTTGAGCACTTTGGCGCTTGGAGCAACAGGTGCTGGGGTCCACTTAGCCGAAGTTTGGCGAGTTCCGTCAGATGAAATAGACGGACTTGGTGCTTGTTTGGTTCTGACAATTTACCAGTGGAATCCATTTGTGGGTGTCTTGCCGGGGGGTTCCCTAATTAGGAAACGGAGGAAAGGATTTGGTGGCTTACATGGCTGGTTTGGCGTGGCCGGTGCGGGCTATGGTTCAGCGACCACCACTGACTACATGCGGTAGTTGACACCAAACATGCATCATCCACTGGGCAGTGATTGAGGCAAGAAGTCCATCTTACCTGCTTGGCAAGGGTCACCTGCGAGACAATGCTTTTTGGAGTTTCTCGACAACTTGCAGGTTCGAACGGGCAAATGCACCCGAGTATCCAGCCTTCTAGAAAAATCCCTGGGTTTTGGACAACCGTTCCGTGTCTCAACGCTGAGGCCCAGACCACACGAGCTCCATTGACTGCATGGAGGAGGGCTGAAAGGCCAAGTTGGCGCGAGCGCTGAAATTGCATTTTCGAGTTTCGCGTTTACGGGGACTGCCAAAATGGGGTTGGGGTCTGGTTTGCTCATAAGTAGGTTCGTCAGGAAAACCGTCTTCTCTTTTGCCCGGCCTCCGCTGCTGTGCATGAGAGGACACCCCCGCCACTGTTGTGATTGTTCTTAGAATGGCGAGACAGTTGTGCAACCGTCCGTTTCTGACCTTGTCTACCATTTGTGCTCCTTGTTGCGCGAAGCGTGCTCCGTTTTTGCAGAAGAGACCCAAAAGCTCATGGAATAAGCAGTGTCTCGCGAAATCTGGCCACAGCAAAATGACACTTCTAGCTGCCGCTGATGCATGATTGATGTTTCGAAGGTAAACTGGTCACAGCAGCAAATTGAAAACAACTTTGATATGTGTCCTTTACCTGGGAGGGGGTCACCTTTGGAGCTGTGGTGGAATGTGCAGAAGAGGGCAACCTAGTCTGGCAATGGGATCATATGCTTTCTGTTCCACAGCCTTGCTGTTTTGACTCCCTATGCCCTCAACAGGATTTAGGCAATGTAAATTCAGCGTTGACCTATCCATGTGTCTTTAAGATAACCCAAGAGCAGACCATGCTGGGTCCATGATATACGGAAACATAGGAAGACACAGGCAAACGTTGGAAAGCAGTTTGTGTGTGTGTGCGCGCACCCCTGTCACATCCTGTCTCTAAGCGCCAATCTGAAAGCCATTTCGTTTTGCAGACAGTCAATGATGCGAGTGGAGTCAGCCACAGCTTGAGCCTAGTTTGTGCGACTCTTCAAGCCTAAGCGTTGCGTGTGTGTGTGTGTGTGTGTGTGTGTGGGTGTGTGTGTGTGTGTGGGTGTGGGTGTGGGTGTGGGTGTGCGTGTGCGTGTGCGTGTGCGTGTGCGTGTGCGCGTGCGCGTGCGTATGCGTGTGTGCGTGCGTGCGTTTGTTTGTGCGTTTGTTTGTGCGTGCGTGCGTGCGTGCGTGCGCGAAAATCCTGATCGCAAAGGATTTGTTGAGCAGGGGGGGCCAAAATGAATATCTGAGACCCCCGCCCCACCACCACCCGCGGGGCCCTTGCCGGGTGCTAAAATTACCTGCGGACCAGAATTTGAAATCTGAGACGCTCGACCGCCAACTTGCGGCATTGCTGTACACATCAATGCAATCTCTAACCGAGTTGGGCAATCACGGCAGTTCTTTAGGTCGTGTCTGTCAGGAGACTTGAGGGAATCTCCACCAGCGATCAGCCCTCAAGGTTCAGTAGGAGGAGAAAGCAAGCGATCGCACATCCACAGCACAAAAGCTGGCTTAGTTGCAAATCCACGGCAAAAGCCGGTTTGGTGTTGAGTCCACGGCTAAAGCCGATTTGGTGTTGAGGCGGAAGGCCGTTGATTGCGAATGCAGATTGAATTCAGAATTCTGGTCCCCTTTGTGGACAGTCGCCGGGCACTTGCCAGACGTCCGGCCCAAAGGTATACACACTTGGTGAGAATCTATCCACTCTTTTTCATTTTCTCGCATCCAGTGTATCAAAATGAAGGTACACCGAAGCGGCCAACTTCGGTTTCCCAGGCATATGGCAGCTTCGTTGGGCACAGTCCCATATGCCTGCTGTGCAAAAGAACCTGACTTTTGCTGTGGATTTGCAACCAAGCTGCCGTTTTGGCAATTCAAGCCGGCTTTTGCTGTGGGCAACCAAGCCGGCTTTTGCTGCGGAGTTGTGAGTACAGAATCTTTCAACTAGTAAACCTTCAGTATTCAGTATGGTTCTCCGTAGTGCGCCGTTTTAACCAAGGCAGCACATGGATCTTGCAATTTCCCCGCGATGGGGCATTTGTGTGTGTGTAAAAACCCTGATAGCAAAGAAGGGTTTTACTAGCAGGGGGGCGCAGCAGGCATATAGGACTGCGTCCAACGAAGCTACCATCTGCCTGGGACACCGAAGGTGGCCGCTTCTGCATACTTCTGTTTGATACAATGGCGAGAAAAGAAAGAACACGTGGATAGATTTTCCTTCCGGGAGCAGAACAAGTTTGTGGGTTTTCAAGCAACAAAGATCCTTGGGTTTTCAAGAATCACATGGGGCCCTGTCACTTCGAAGTTCCCCGAGAGAGTTGCGGAGGAGAACTGCAACCCCGCACTGCGGAGCTGCTCCGGGCTCACGGCGGCAGAGCGGGCGAGCCCAGAAGTTCGACCAGTGCTCCAGCATAGAGTACAAATATATTATACACACACATTTTCACATATGTGTGCATATGTCCCACTCTTTTCAGACAACCTGATAGATCGAGACAAATATGTATATATATATATATACACTGTTTGTCTGGTTTTTTGTTCGTATGCTCCCCCAGACCCAGGACCTGCGCCTGAGTTTTGTCAGTCATTCTTGCCAAGCGGATAGTGATGCGACATGGCAGGAGGACCTTCAAAAGTACTCTAAATGCCAGCGCTTGCAGGCGCCATAGGAATCTCAAGGCCCGAATTCCCCAAGCAGGCAGACTGCTTCCGCAGCGAATTCCGCTTTGGAAACCAGCTATCGTCACACAATAGTCTTAGTTGATGCCCTTTCTTGGACAGCGTTGTCGCCTTTGGGGACCACTCGTTCAGTGTTTGGGTTGGAAGATCAGGCAGCAAACAATATTATTTTGGGGCTTTTGCGTGCACGCAGCACTGTGTTGTCCCTATCCAGAACATAGGGACAGTGGGCCCACACTTTTGGAGACCAGGAAGCCAACAGTGTGGTACTGTCCGTATTTCTGGTTTCGAGGCAACAAACAAGTTGGGACAGCTCCGCACTTTTGAAGAGCAGGTGCGCACACGTGTGGCACCGTCCCTAGTTTTGGGCTCTTGCAAGCAAAACACACTGTAATCTGTAATGCAAGTCATACTTCTGGAGAGAACTTTGCCAGGACAAGGTTTGAAAGGGACGCCAGTCCAATACAGGAACAGTTGTTAAATTGACTTTGTTTTTCAAAGGCCCTTGAAGGGAACAACTTACCATCCTTTGGAAGCGGCACTTTCAACATGACTGTGTTTAAAAGAACTTCAAAAGGAACAACCTACCAGATCTGCAAGAAAAAATGACGGTTCCTTAACAAGTGACTGGCCCAACCCTCATCAGCATTTGTCTTCACGGGTTGCTGACATGTCGACAATTTTCTCTTCTTCCGCCCCAGCGTGGTTGATGTTTATCCATGGCAGATATGCGCAACTCGGAGAACCGGCATTGTGCAGAGACTAGCTTGCGTGTTGGGCCTTGTATTTCCCCTGCGCGAGCGTAGCTTGTTCTGGTTTGCGGCGGCATGTGGCAGTGGAACGGAGGAGGGGTGTTAGTATATAGGGTACCGGTACCGTGTCAGGTGTCCCCCCCCTGTGGTCTGGTTCCTCCAGGGGGCTCCCACCCTGGACCCCGCCGTCCGTGCCCAACCGTCCCGAAAACCATTACGCAACCCGCACCCCGGCACTGGCAACCCGAGCAATCCAACCCTCAACCACCCCCAACCCATCCCTGAAGCAACCCGAAACCCATCTCAAAATCAACCCTTCCCACGACCCAACGCTAAACCCAATCCACAAACTGAGGAATCCCCCCACAATTCCCCATCAATGGAATGGGGGAACCAGCCCTAATCAGACTCGTCCTTAGCGCCCTATCCGTTTGCAGCCCATTGGTTTTTCAAGGCCATTTGGGTATGTCTTCTTTGCAGGGTACCGTTTTTGGTGCTTCATAAGAGAAACCGGCAGGAAATCAAAGCCTTTGTAGAATTTCGAGACGCCATTTGGCTGTGCCTTTTGAACATGGGAAATACCCTTGGTGGAAAAATATATCTCCTCGGGTGCCCTTGTTTGGTGTGTTTTCGCAGAAGGGTACTGTAACTGGGGCTGAACCTTGAGGGGGAGGGGGCAGAGCAGAACTGTCTCCCCGCTCTTTCTCCTTCGAGGTTGCCGCCGGCGCGCTGATCCATCCAGTGGGAGGGCCGAGGGGTTTGTGAGAGAAATGCCCAGTGCGCGGGCCGCAGTTGGCGCCAGTGCCACTTCAAAAAGGGTCCTTGTCACTGTTCTTGAGGAGCGAAGTCGGTAACCTGGGGTGGGTCTGTTTAGTCTATTTCGTAGGGGGTGACTTCGATAATGGTCAAATTGGCGCAAAGAGGTTGGAGCTGGTTGGATTGTGCGCGAGCGCTGCTGCAGCCTTTCCCTCAGAACGGAGCAAGGAAAGAAGGGGCGAGAGCCCATCCGTCAATCAAGGGGCAGCAGAGACATATGCAACATTGTGAAGCACGATCTAGGTGGATCAGGTTCAAGAATTCATGAGGCGCTCGCGTGAACATGACATCCAGTACCTTCCCACTGACAAAGCTGACACGAAGCAACATTGCTTTGATCTCAGCTGTCGGCGAGAGGGTGATTTAAATCTCCGGCGATCGCCTTTTTGCCCAGAAAAGCTTTGGGCAGAGCTGTTGTTTGATGCCGGCGGATGGGTCATGGCCCTCGTCCAGAAGGGTCCACTGTCTCATTCCTTTGGGTCGCACCGGGCTAAAAAATCGTGGGAACCCATTTTGATAGATGTTGAAAGAGAGACCTACAAGAAGACCCGCCATTCTTGGCCCTTATGTCAGAAGGCACTCAAATCCACGGCGTCCTTTTGCGTCGTAGCTACAAGCTGGGCAAGTGACTGGGAACGCCGGATGCACCTCCGGCTGATGTTTGCTCACAGCTGGTGCTCTTGTGGGTTGAGGATGACACCCTTGAAGAGCTGGGCTTACAAATCCGGGCCCCTTTTTTTGTTGGCACCAGGGCCAACGTGGCTACAAATTTCAACAGGGAGCCACACACAAAAAAAGTGGTTGGTGGACATGACCCCCCACCTGTCCCCCAAAGGCTTTCTTGTCAAAAAACACAACGACATGCGATGAGGAAAAGGGTGACCCATGTCCCGAGTTGATCGATCCGCCCCCTCGGCTTTCCTGGATCGCCCCTTATCCCTTTCGGTGTCAGGTGCACGGAACCGATTGTGGAGGCATCGCATTCAGATTTTGCCCTGCGCAGCCTCGACTTTCAAACTTGCATTAGAAGGGCCTGCGCACAGACTTTGCAAAGCGAACTTTCATGGCAAAAAAGGCAGGGCCAAAGAAGCTTTGTAAACGTCCCGTTTTGCAACCGAGGACACAGGGATTGTGCCGCCTTTTGCACCAAGCTATTTTTCCTCCAAGCAACAAGCGGGTTTTGAAGCTATCCTTTGTTCCAGCTTGCAACAAAGGACAACTGAGCCCAACTCCTCACCCAACTTATCCCATTCAGCTCAAGGGACGTTTTCTACTACGTACACGCTTCTAGTCCCCTCAAGGGCCTGGCCATTCGGGCCATGGCGACCGAAGAGGACGCAGACGCTTCGGCAAGCGACGCGCTGGGGGAATCCAAAAAGGCGGCTTGTCAAACATGGATGTCCTTTTGGAGTTTTCGTTGAAAAGGTGGCACCTTGGGCGGCACGGTCCCAAAAGGGGCCATTTGTTTGATCCTCGAAAGGGCTTCTACCCATCAAACGCTGGGAGCTGAACCTTTTCGGGCGAGAGTTGCTGGCAGAGGATGAACATCGTGGGACACCTGGAATTCTTTTGGAGATCCAGAACATTCTGGTTTGTCTCAATTGAGGAAATCGCAAAGATGGGCGGGTTTCAGGTACCCTCAACAAAAGACACACCCCATTGACCGCCCAACACGCCGACATCCCTCCCAAAGCGCCGCGAGAGGACTTCTTCGACGTGCCGGACGAGGCAGGTCCGCTGCTAGTGGCGGCTCGCCGTCCTGGGCTGGTGCTGCTGCAGTGGCGGCCGCCCAACTGCAACGCCCGGCCAATCACGCGCCGCGCCCGAGATTAGGGGGGGGGGGGCAAGCTGGGCAAATGGGTTGGCATGAAATGAGTGCCCAAAAGTCCTTGTTGCCATTTTTTAGTGGTTCTACGACCCGATCTATTGAGGGTCGCAGTGCAAAGCAGCAGCAACGCAACAAGAGCCGCCAGCAAGCACATTAACATAAAAGGGGAAACTGGGCGACACACTTGCCATATCGCTAGTGTATATTAACTTGGTGAGAAGTTTGAGAGGCAGTTTGAGGAACTGAGAAGAATTTGCTTAGATGTACAAAGCTCACTTGGCTGTTCTACGGTCTGACCATTTTCTGTCATTTACTGTTGAACCATTTGGAAAATGACAATGACTGACGTTCGAAGAGACACACATCACAGATTTTGCCCTTTGTTGGCATTTGTTGGTACACTTTCCCAGCAATCATGGAAGGGGATAGGAGGGAAACGGACCCTTTTCCACGTCCATTTTTTTCTTAGAAGAGGGCAACTCCCGCTCGACACACTTGGAAACGGCAGCTCCGCCCTCAAGCTGCCTTCCCAGGCACTACCAGCTTCGGTCGTGGCGTTGGCAGTTAGGAGGCGCTCGAGGGCACGCTTTGCGGGTTTGCACATTCTTTGGGAGAATCGGGGAAGGTGTGGTTTGATAGCGCGTATGTCAGCATGCCTCAGTGACTGCGAGTGCTATGCGCCACATGGGAATCCGAATCGGCAGGAACGGAAGGGAGATTCTCAGTTTGTGTTTGTGAGGGTACGTTACAATCTCTTTGTGCTGGTTCACTTCAGGGTACTGGCCGAGGTGGGCAGCGTGAAGAGTTTAAAACAAATACATCTGCTTGGCTTGGGTTTTGGAGAGCCGGCTGACAGGGAGATCCCTCCAACTCCAGGGGTGCTGTGATTGAGCGCAAAGACGGGTGATCTCGTTTTGGTTTTAATTGGAATGAGCGCCCGGACACCCAGGATTCTTGTTTATTTTGTTTGGAAATTCAATTCGTTTACTGCCCTTCTCCAATGGAATCCTACAAGGCGAGGCCTACGCAGGAGTGCGTGGTTAATTTTGGACCCGGGAAGCCTTTTACGTCACACACCTGCCACACGGATTGCACTTGCTAATTCGATCCGGGTTGACCGGATAGCAGCTTTTGAGCAAAGGTAAGAACTTTCGTAGTGCCTAAGGTCGTAAAAATACCCTCAGTACGTACTCCAAAGCTGATCTTCCAACCTTTTCAGGTGAACATTTTATTTCCAGATGTTGGGGGGAGGTGACTTGATAGAAGAGTCGGTTAGATGCAGGTGGCCTACAATCCCATGTGAGGTGCGGTTGACATTATGAATGGTAACTTTAAGTGGAAGATTCTCTGCTTCATCCACTCGCTTCCCAAGGTCGGACTTCTGCTTGGGAGGACCATTTAAAGAGATGGTTATGTTACATGTTGTTTAGCCAATCCTCTCAAGTGAATCCGGACTCTGCCTTGTTTCATTTGTTCATTTTCGGGGAGGGCTTGCCTATGGTTGCTGGCGTCGCAATGCCCTCAATTGGAGGGGCTCGCACCTTCAGGCGATCCTGGTCCGTTGGAGGCGCCGGTGGTTGAGCTCCTTGCAGCCAACGGAAGCGGATGGGGGCGGCTCCGGATTGATTCTCATCGCGGGGCTAGCACGGATTTGGCTTGGTTTCGAAGGGACAGGGCTGCGTTGCGTTTCAGCTGCCAGGCGAACCAAGCGAACAATAGAGATAGCAACGATTTTGGGGTTAGTTAGTGTTGAATCCAGAAGGAATGGTTAAAGCAATCATTTTGGGGTTGACTCAGATCTTTTTGGTGTGTTTCAAAGGGACATAAGGAAACCAACCATTTTTTATAGCCCTAAATCTGAGACACGCCCATATCGCCGTGTTAAATGGAGTTGGACACCTGTAGATGGTATCCTTTTAAGACAACCTTGTTGTGAAGATGAATGTGCCCCTGGCAAACTTTCGCGACGTAGAGATGGTCATGCAATTTTTGGCATTGCGACCATCAGCAATTGTCCCACGCGAGGAGTTTTGGTGTGGCCCAAGTGGGTATGTCTTTTTCAGTGTACCGTCTTTGGTTATTTGAAAAGGGAGACCAAACCATGTCCATGGTTTTTGTTCTGGGTATCCCTGTATTGAGACAAACCATGCAGGTTTGTGTGTAGAACACTCAAAGTGGATAATTTCCCAACTGGCCTTGGATTTCCAATGTCCAAGCCAGTTTTCATTGAACGATTGGTTTCTCTGATATCTTGGCGCAGCCAGAAGTTCCCATGAAGACTTCTAAGATGAGAGTGGTGACCTCGGCAAATTGCGCGCTTGAATGTTCAACCCATGGTAGGCAGGCTATCATGCTCATAACTTGGACCAGGGTTGATGGACAACCTAGGTCTATATTTCAGGGTTGACTACATATGAAACAGGATCTCAAAGGGTTTTAGCGGCCTTCAGATTCCGGGCGCACACAAAACTAGAAGACAGTGATGAGCTGCTATTTCCTCGGGCTTTGACGCACTTTTTCGGGTAAGCCAACCCCCAGGACGGGTGGTTCCTTACTTCCATTTAAATTGTAAAAAACAGCCACCAACCAATGAACTACTCACCCACCCACCAACCCACCCAACGAGCCAACGAGCCAACGAGTCAACGAGCCCTTGAGCCAACGAGCCAACGAGCCAACGAATCAGCAAACCGACGAACCAACAAGCCAATGGACCAGCCAACCACGGACCCACCCAACCAACCAACCAACCAACCAACCAACCAACCAACCAGCCAGCCAGCCAGCCCACCAGCCAACCAGCCGGCCGACCGCCCGACCAACCAACCAGCTAGCCAAGGAACCAGTGAACCAACGAACGAGCAAACTAACAAACGAACCAACCAACCAACAAAAGTTTGATTTCGATTTCCTTGGGTGGAAAAGCGATGGAATGCCAACCTCTCCAGAGCGGAGCGGCGAGCGCCCATTTGAGGTTGGCCGCTTCGGAGGTAGTGTCTTGGCACGGAATCGGATGAAGCATCCACGCCTAGTCGGGCCAACATTGATGGCACAACTCCCATTTGGACAAGTAAAGTAAAGGGATCATG